CTACATATTATAGCAGCAGTTAGTTGGTGTGAAATGTCTTGCCTGGCAAATATTACTTTTAACTTGTTTAGGTGCGCCGTTAACTATATCTATCATACATGTGTAAGTTTTTCCGTGACCAATTCCACGCATCAATCACTGCTGACGCAAACCGTTGCTTATATTGATACCTAGAGTCACTACCTAGGTAGAACACAAGAAGTTCAAAGCAGTGATTTATTACCTGAGCTCCAATATTTGCCTTAAAGCTAGCCTCCAAAAATGCTTTACGTCATAACCTCGTCTTATATGACGGTAAGTAAGCAAAAAGATCGCATCAAAGGCTTTACCTTGCTGCGTTCGCATAGGAATGCAGGACATACGCTGCAAATCACGACTATTGAAAAATCAATCTCAGTCGTATGTTTACGCATGCAGCTATCTCATGGTTGTTTTCGCGCGCTGCAGGAATGGGAATTCACAAACAGTTAACTACTTCCTGGCTGTCCTTGTACGCTTTTTACGGGTTCGCTACGACAAGATCCACTATCGAGTTCGTCTACCTTATTTGAAATATGTATGGGACAATAGCAGAAGCAAAGCCAGCAGCAGTGGGTGCCGAAAGAAAACCAAAAAGAACAAATTACCTTACCAGTGGAGCTCATTTGACGCCACGCGTCACCTCCGCCGACGGGCATCCGGCAATCATAATTATAATTGGGAAACATCGTAAAAATATTTTGTATTATCGCTTCAGTTAACTGCTGTTGACTCTCCTTTTATCTATGGCTATTTAAAAAGTTTCATTGCCTGATTATAGCAGCAGTGTCAGAGGTCAGTCTGTTCGCTTGCTTTCCGCAGTCATCGCCGCCGCACCTCCCCCCGCTACCTCTGATAGTATAGCGCATAACGGGGACTGTCGTTTTGGTCGCATTTCCACCACCGACACCATCGCCCTCATTACCGGTAGTATCGCAAGCAGCATCATGATCAGCGTCAGCATCGTTGAAGGCGAAACGGGTTGCCCAAAAAAATGGGACGGGATCAGGTACCAGCAGTATGATCGTAACTGCTATCCTTAGCGTCGGTAACACCGATAGCGTCAAAATTACCTTCAGTCTCAGCCGCGGCAATACCAACTTGCTGTCGTTGCGTCAGAAACCGTCGCCATTCAAAACTATTGGCCCCTCTTGGGCCGTCGCTGGCGTCATCATAGTTCATGTAGCACAAGCGTAAGCTATCGCGCAACGTAAACCGTAACCCTCCTATCACAAAATTACATACGTATAGGGTAACACACATCACCAAGGTAACGGGCATATTATTTTAACCGCAATCGCGACGAAAACTAGTTAAAAGAAACCAAAAAGTTCGATTGCCTCGAGCTGGTTAGAGTGTATCCGTGCATGTGTGGTAACTGATAATTTTCTCAAATTTGCTAGGCGCATTGCTCAGTTTTTAATAGAGTATTAGATATAGATGAATAAGGTAAAAGAAACGTGCAGCAAATTTTTTCTAGATATATTCACTGTATGTTCAAATAGTCAAATAGAGCTCGAAGTTTCGGCTGGTTGTAGTACTATCGAGATACAGAGGGTACGTTTCTAACAAAGCAGACAAACCACGAAGGGTCCAGTGGTCAAACCCTTGATCGGTCTCAATATAGCATCTTTTCGATTCGTCGGCAAAATAGTATTTTTTTTTCCAGGGAGTTAAAATTAAGCTTAAGAGCGCCGCAGCGTAAACACTAAGGCGCATAGATAATTTGATTTAAGACGAGATGCCTGATTACAACTTACATAGTAACTATTATTCTCACGACACGAAACTATCTACAGAAGCTGTTCCGTTACACCGAAAAAGTGATAAGCTTAAGACAGAAACAAGTATTTGTCATCATTCAACATATAACGCTGGAAGGGAAATGACAAAACATGATCTTTGCTTGTACAAATATATCCAGCTTAAAACAGCTTTTCGTCACCTGTTATTTCGTACTTATCAAGGTGCTACGCCTACATTCAGGCATCTCAAGGCCGGTATCCCAAACCAAGTGTGATATGATGCCTTATTTTTATACTAAATAAATGAACAGAAAGCTTATTCCTTAGATTTTCCTTGTTCCTGATGCTCTAGACGTAAGTTATTATATCACAGTGTTTTTGGATTATGTGGCTATTATCTCAATCTGCTGTTATTCGATTTAGCCTGCTCACGATACAACTGACCGACCACGTGACCCATGTCGTCTGCATAACTGTGACAAGTCCAAGCTTTTCAGGCTTTGACAGACGAAGAGTTTCTTCCGTTACTTTTCCATTACGTCCACAAACAATTATCATTTCTTATTGACATTTTCTATAGAACACAAGTGCTACGTGTTTTTCGCGCCTGACTATGTCATCTCGCGCCGCCACCCCGCCGATGTTTCCGTTAATTCTATTCTCTGGCCAAAGCGGCCAGCCTTATATAATCCCAATTCTAATAACACGTACAGACTCATTGACGTAATATGTGCAACGAAAGTTGATTGTCGCAAGCGTATGTAGTGCTGATAGACGAGACGTCCGTCCGTCCGTCTGTTTATGAGTCTTTTCAATTCTTTATTTGTGCCTACCAAAGACGTCACGTCATTACTACTGATTAACATTTACGCGTAATTATCGTATGACCATAGTAGCTAACGGCGGCTGTTTCGTTTCGGCGTTGCACGACTGCTGCAGTGTTCTGCGTTTCGGCCAATTAAGACAACGGTGAGCGATCGAGAGCGACTAGCCACTGCGATCCTCCTCTTATGTGTAATCTATAATTACCGCTTTCCCTTTGTGGTACGCCTTATCTGTCACCAGAATTTGCTTGCTATCGTATGCTGACGTATGTGGGGGCGATCGGCCCACCGACAATGGAACTTGACCATGACAATCCCGAAATGAATCGACCCATTCACAACACATCCATACACTTGACAACGTTCTAAACGTAATAACATCCAGACAGGCATTGTTGCCCCAACTAATGGAAACACATTAAACTTTGACCGCGACGGTGAAGCCCTTACTGAACTATGCTGTATCTACCCTCGTGTACCTCCACTATCGGACGGAAAACGATAAGCGGAGGAAGTGCCGCCTTGCTCTGAGACGATGATGACGACGGTGCTCATGGGTCGTGGGTTAAAAATTTGAACTTGGAAAAAGTGGCTGAAGTGGGAAGGTGCCAAAAGCAACTTCGTTACAAACATTCAATGGAATCGTTTTGTCTGTGGGTCGGTCTATTGACGTTTTTTCTATCTCGCTATTGAATCGTCGCCGTTACCAAGGCAAGGGTCTTAGAAGACAAGTCGTTCGTGCAGAAATTGAGACTGAGCGAGAACGAGTGTGTGAGAGAGAGAGAGAGAGAGACAGACGGGTTGATGAAATCGAAGGATCAAAATGATGGTTGCAATGATGATGGTGATGGTGATGGTTAGAGTGATAAAATGAAGAAAAAATAAAAGTTCGTCGTCAATTTAAAAAGCAAAATGAGCTGTTGTGTTACATAAGTACGGCCGGTGCGGTTCGAAGAAAACACCGCTAGGTAAAGATGCTACGTGGCTATATTGTATAGCCGATTTCTTTTTGTCCACTCTTTGATCTTCTCCTTCATGATTGTTCGGTATGTATTTTTATTCTGTTTTCGGGTTTTTTACTCACGCCAGTAGCCGCAACATAATTTGTATTCCTATCGGCAACCGTTGTTCGTGAGTACACCAATCCAGCTGACGACCCCTGGGATCAGCCAACGAGTATATTATCCCGGCTAGCTCGGCTGCTGCAGGCAGCGGTGGCGGTCATAGCAAACATACGCTCCGCGCTGAACGCCCACGCAGCCAACAAACCAGTAGTAGATATAGCGACGTGCTCTGGGGGGTTAGATTGTCGTCTCAGTCAGTCAGTCGGTCAATCAATCAGTTGATCTAACCTCTGACATTGAGGCAACTGTCGTTTACTAGCCGGCAATAGCAATAGCGATAGCGGCGGCCGGACTAGTTACAGTTATTTAAAAAATGCAAAAATCTTATTAATAATGATGATGATAATAATCTTTCGATGATGAGTATAATGATAATGATAGAAATCCATTTCAGATGCTCATATATCTATACAGTTATGTATCATGTGGGCATAATAGCTCCCATTTCAAGTTAGTGTTTGAATTTCACGCAATTGTAGAGGATCATCACCGCCGACAAATTTCTATGACCGAAAAAATACGTAAAAAGATAGTTCCTAACTTGCTATTCATTTAATTAATTGTTACTTTTTTTAATATATCATTCGTAGTTAGTATGTGTATATATATTTGCGCGTGCATATACGCCAGATTTAACAAGCCATGTCACCTCATCTTTTTTTACGTTCCATTATACTCAAAGTACTTTTGTTAAGGCTCCCTGATCTACTAGCCGGATATTTTTGCCTGCATACTTAAACATCGACTACCTCGAAGGTGTTATCAATTGGCGCTGTTTCCTACAGAAAGTTAGATTATTATTCCTTTGCATTGTTATGGACTAAGATATAATATAGGTGATTAGTACGACATTTAGCATACAGTCATCAAGCAAACTTATGTTTGAGGTCTACCAGCTACTTCAGTGGAAGCTGTGTGATAACAAGAACTTAAAAGCTGACCTTCTGGCCGATGCAGATTCAAAGCATCGGTTAAGTAGCACGCCTAAGAAGCGTATTCAACTTGTCATGGATTGTTACCTTACAGCCATCAATTATTCTTGTAGATCCTAATTGATAAGAAGGTATGCACTCTCTAGAGATCGGAATATTATAGATTTAATTTACAAATTATTTAAATTTTTTTGCTGCCCAAATAAAGACTCAAAAAAAAAATAAAACAACTGCTCAAAATACTGTATATATTTGCGTATCAGAGATATGCAGACAACAATGTTGGTCCCATAATGAATCTATAATTCACGATCCTTAACGATAATATATAACCTGAAAAGATATTATCTATGCCACTGTGATATAGTGCGGTAGCTGGTCACATTTCATGTTTATTAAACTTCGTCTTAATGGTTAATAGAGGAACTACATGTTCGCATCGTACTTTCTTTTAACATCGCCTGGTGTCATAGAAAGTGTCAATAGTGTGATGCAGTATGGCTATGTCGTTCTGCAAGTTGTGATATCCTCAAAAGTGTTTTCTATGGCGAATGATTTTCGATAGGTTAGATGCTTTGATCTCATTTCAGAGACTAACCCTCATGAAGCTTGGAAGCACCTCATCCTTTTGGTACGCGTCAATCCATAAATTCTTTGAAAGTTCAGATAGGTACTTGCATTCGGCAAATGGCAATTCTACAATATGACTATTATAATAATTAAGCCTAATTCAAATGACGCTGACGTGCAATCGTGCATACTGTTACACACAACACGTAAAGTTCTATTCAACTGGACTTTATTTTATTGCAATTTTTTCGGAAACTCGCTGGACGCATTAAAGTTAGACCTGTAGTTCGGGCCCTTAAATGGTTTTGGCTGAAATGGGACCTGGTTACTTTACTTGCCGAAGTATCGCAGTCAGAACCGGAAGTGTATTCGAGAATATAACTATATGTAAGGAAGCGCTTTTTGTCTAATTATATTTATATATAGTCTCTGCCAGACGAACACTTCACTATTGATAATGCCAAGTACTTCCTCAAGAAATCTATATCTATGCAAATCAAGAATAGGGCTAACAGATTTAAGTTTGCTAAGTGGTAAGGATTTGTTGTTTGATTTTTGTCAGACCCCTTGCCACCACACCCCGCCGTTATTATTAATTCACAATTGTAGCTCATTTACTTATTTATTTTACACGTTTCCATATTTTTAACTCATTAAAAAAAATCATTTTCTATTTTTAGGCGTATTTTCTACGCGATTTCTCACCTGTTGGGTAAATGGATAACACTGCATCAATTTGACAAAGCAAAATCGAAGTAAAAATTAGCATCTACTTTTGCCATTATTATTCTCTGTAGAAGAAACACCGTCGCTGCAGTGGAGATAATCGTGGAGACATATATAGTGAGTGTTGGACTCCCGCCACGTGAAATTTCAAAACGCCATCGAACGAGAATCGCCCATTTCGGCAACTGTATCCCGCAACTGTCTGAAGGGGTGTCTGTCTAGTAAAGCTAGTTGACTGTTCAATTATTGTTGGAGTAAAAGGAAGTATTCGCGTGGTGATTAGTGGAATATAGTCCGACCGTCAAATAAATTGTTAATTGAAACTTTTGAAAACATCGAAATTTCGATAGGTGGGTAAATTGTATATCGGTTGCAAACAGTTCGAAATCTTTGCGAATATCGATACCGGCTTCTTTTAAAATACTAGCTTTATTACTAAAGTATGAAAATCTCCGTCAATAAACAAATTTTGCCTTTATATAGCTGCTGGCGTCGGTGCATTTATACCTTCTGCGTGCCATACGAAGATTTGTTCATATAGAGATATTGGTGAAGTCGATTTTTGGCACCTCTTGAGTGTTGTGCTTGTAATTTATACTTGTATTTACTATAATGTATTACGTCACACTGTTCTCGTTATGATGTTATTGTTTTCGGAGCAAAGTGCAAAAAAGACTGTAGCTCGAATTAACGTGTGAAGCAATACGTTGTCATGTTATCACTCTGTTTACAACCCAGAGAACGAAAGTATTTCACCACTTAATTAGCAATTAATTATAAATAGGTACATTATTTCATGATCTAATTCAATAGTATATAAAAGGCTTGGTCTTACTTAATGAACGCGGGTTCACGCACTTGCCACGCATAATAATCTACCAAAAATCACACGACAAAGCGATTTTGAGTGTACCCAGCTCTGTGTAAGATTATTAATTCTAACAACTGATAAAATGATTACATTTTAGGAATAAATAAATGTGGTAAAGAGGTGATCCAAAGCCGTTTGTGCGCATAAATACAACGGCCTGTTTTAGGCTGAAAAAAATGAAAGCATCAGTCGTTTTTAAAACGTTAGTTTGTCACATTAATTGTTTGTTGGCCATATCGCGATTCACCCGCGGTTGATTAATAGGGTATTGTAATTGATATGAAACGAAGATTAACTATTTTCGAGAGAAATGACAAAGTACTCTTCGCTCCGTGCTTACAGATATGCATGGACCCACTTTAGTTTTACTTAGTCTGGTGGCATTTTCGTTAGTAAACGCAAAGAAAGCCGAAGAGCAGCCAGACTGGGCGAAAAAAGACCCTATTCATTACACGGATGTCGACGTCGAACGGCTTCTTGAGCAGTGGGACGAAGATGACGAAGTTGACGAGGACGATATTCCGGAGCACAAACGGCCCCCACCAAAGGTTGATATGAGCAAATTAGACCCTAGTAACCCAGAAAGCTTTCTTAAACTCAGCAAAAAAGGTTGGTCCATTTTGTGAACTTACATTTGTGTTTGTTTGACAAATTTTATAATAAATTTTGTTGTTTGTCAAAGTTTACTCTGAGAAAGATCAGTTCAATTTCATTAACTCGTGTGTTATTTAAGTTTGGCTAAACGTTAGATTATGACAAAGAACGTGAAATCGCTGCAAAATAAAAATTGAACCACTTGTTGAGAGCGTCTCTTCTTCAAAAGAACAGTAATAATAATAGGCACTGGCTAGAAACAAGGAAACATATAGACGCACAGTTTGAATTACCTTAAACTTGTCAAGCCGTCACTTGAGGTGACTTGCTCTTTTTTGGGTCGTGATAATTTTTGCCATACAATTAAACATAGTGGTAGCTGAAACTCGTAATGCTAGAGCATCGCACTACAGGGACGGCGATTCCTCTATAGAGGATCATGTTGGCAAAACTAGGTTTAAACGTGAATGATCTTGACTTTCGAAGAGGATCAAGGAAGTAATAATACAGTAAGTGAATGTCTCTAATGTCGAATTGTTAAACAGGTCAGACGCTGATGACATTTTGTACTACCTCGGAGCCAACATCCCATGATAAGACAGAGCAACTCTCATCATTGTGGCAGACAGCTTTACACAACAATCATATACAGGTTGAACGATACATGATTGCTGATAACAGGTTCATCTTTATGTTCAAGGACGGCTCACAGGCCTGGGAGGCCAAGGACTTTCTTGTCGATCAGGAAGGTTTCGAACAGATCACTATTGAAAATAAACCTTACTATGGAAAGTATGCTAAAAACAGACCTAAAGATGAACTCTAAGATGATTACGATAAATCGATAGATATCTACCTGATATTTATATATTCAACTGTTGAAAGTGATGTAATGTTTTTCTACTCCGTACACCTACTTCCAATGCCAAATTCGTAGGCAGATGATGCTTAGCAAAAATTTAATTTAATTGACCGCGAGGCCATGATCTGTAAATATTGATTAGCAATACTTAACGCTAATAATAGAATTTCTTATAGCGATGCGGAGCATTTAAATAGGGTAAATAACAAATGCTTGTAGAAACGCTATTGCAATTATTATTGTACAATAAAAACACAGATGAAGTGAAAAGAGCGATAGTTGGGCCTGAAGTCTTAAACTGTGCTTATGTGCGATCTTCAGCTTCGAAATTCGATCGTCAGTGTGAATTGAGATATTTATTAGAAGCCAACTGTGGAAACGTTCAGCGAGACACTCAGGCTAGCCTATAGAGGATGTCGTGACGTGAATAAAAAAGTTGTTGGATCCCAACGAATTAGTGTTTGTGTTTCATTGTCTGATATCGTACTACACATGCCTGGCCGAAGCTTTTGTTTTTTGTACTTCAACATCTTTGTTTGCAAGCTATGGTCGATTTTTTGCACTACGTCTTCTTCGATTGTACTAAACATTCTGCGCTAGTCTATGGCGCTAGTCTAAGTTGGAAAATGGAATATTCTTTTTTAGGTTCCTTAGCTTTATTCGTTACTAAGCGATTGGAGTGAATAGAAGACTTACCATTATCCCTGTAGCGCGATATGCCACACGGTAGGAAATTGTTCTAACTAGAATTAATTCACAGACCACGTAAGTTAACTATCGAATTATGTTATGTGCGTGACGCTACGATACGTAGCGTAACATCGATAGCAGTGTTGGATCTCGATATATAGGGTACGCTAACAATCATTAGCCATTGTAAATAATGCTTTGCTTTATCCACACAAATTATTTCGCATGTTCTGCGCGTGACAGGTCTTTGATACTATTCAGTGACGTCCTATACGAATGCAAATACTGAGAACCTCACTTTGACTTTCGATTCCCTATATACTGCTATTATAATTGTTTGACGAATGCACCAATATTTCATATTGATGCGGGTGATTCTTCCCGCATTTGCAATAGCTCGAATTTCTTTTTTGACGGTTAGTGACGTAGCAAACTGTAGACGTGCAAATAGGGGTGCACAAATAACGAATGGCAAAGAACACTTTGAAGAAAGCTTTGATCTGGTCAAGTCTCTATAGAAGCCAGTGACGAAGTGGCAAGGCTCTAGGGGGTGAATAAGAAGCACATGAACCAAGGCGTCATCGAAAAAGCAGTCCCGGCAACGTATCGTATCCAGAGAGATACACTCATTCCGCAATTCATGTTATGTCATGACATGATGCAATTAGATGCCAGTGTTTAGAAGCTTGCATCTGATCGCATCGCCGACAACGAAATCAGATGATACAATAAAACTATTATGTGTTTCTTTAATGATTTTGTCATAAATAATGACAGTAAAGTTACGTTATAACACTTTCTTTTTTCTTTCCTCTGTCTATGGTATCCACCGTATGTGCCGCCTGTATAATGTATTTTGCGTGTCATCTTAGTAGCTAGTGCTTGTTGTCATGGTCGAACTCACGATCAATATCTGTGAATGACACAGAGGCTGAGCTAGTCAGCAACTGGTAACAGCAAGATGCGTCCAGACTGTTATGCTTGGCAAGTGAAAGCGGAAACAGTCGAGTAATAACAAAAAGGATCCAACGAAAATATACACAAATCTGTGTTTATTTTGCATATGCTGATAATGAGATCTAGATCCTGTTCGATTTCCACCGTTTCGTGTGTCCGGCATCTCGGTGAAATTATTGTAGCTAAAGACTTTTTATTTGGGTGGATGATAACACACGATCGGAATACTACGACTGTCAATTGAACATAAACCTTGAATTTTATCTGTTGTTTGGATTCACCCAACTCGGTCAAAGCTGTTTCATCGGCCGACATAATATGTTTCTATAAATGTATTTGTTGTTTATAAGTGATTCACCATTGATGGCTGGCAGAGAATTGAATTAGTAGTATTTCAGGTTACTGAAAAAGAGCCATCACCCCCCGCTGTGATCATCAATGATACTGCTTTTCGTTGGCGTTATTATTTTGTTGATGTAGCGCTAGTTGGAAACGTGCATGGTTGCTGGCGGCTGAATAGGTCAATTGTCTTAACTCCTGCCTTTGCCGCTCCTGTGGCCATGACATCACAGAGCGGTGATTCTGTTGGTCCTTAATGGGCACCGGGTGCTAGCGCACAGTAAGATTATATAAGCATATAAGATTCATTGACGTACGCGTTAGAGAAAAGTGTTTGCATTACTATTTGTATTACGTCCATTCTGTGTAAAATGTAAGTGGTTATTTACAACTTTAGTTGATATTTGTACTTGAACTTTGTTAGAATTTATGTTCTAATAAGTACATTTAATCAAATCGGAATTACGTGGGAAATTTAAGTTTCTCGTCGTACTGCTTTCATCGCATTTAAATAAAAAGTTTCCTTGTAAGTTTTGCGTTTCGTGGTGTCAAGACAGCAATTAAATAGATTTCAAATTTTTCGTTGAAACCTGGTCCAAATGTATGCAACTACGTAGGTCTGCGTTTCATGGAAATTCATTTTAAGTATAATTACTGCTGATATTTTATTCTAGCGGTGTCAGTTTTAATTTTTATCGTTATTATTATCTAATGCTTCTTCTTCTTCTCAATAAAGGTTTATTGTGATCTAGAAAATGATGTCGCGTTGTTATTATCGACGGTCTGCTTGGGAAGACACTAGTTTCAAGCTGTGGATAATACCTATAGGTCGAATTGAAATAAAGCAGAAAGATATCTTGAAGACTACTCTTGGAAAAAGCAATTCTTAAGAGAAAGTTGGATCGGCAATACACTATAGCTTTCTTAAGAAGATCTGTTAATCTATCGCGAATGCCAATGTTCAAAGAGAATTCGCCAAGTATTTGTTTAAGCTGTCACTCAATGAACCAAAATTGTAATTGGTATCAATCAAGCTAACGCTATGTAGATATAAATGCTTATGTATAATATTAGACATTTTTTTAAAAAAGACAAGCTATCTCGAACGAAATGAGCCTAGTGGGAGCACAATCAATTTAAATATGGGTTCAGCATAAACATAGATTACATCAGCTTTAGATATGCTTACTAGCTCTGTGGTAGTTTAATGGGTATACTCATCCGGGGGACTGTTCGTTTAGGAAGTTTACTCATATATAGCATGCGATTTCCATGAGAAGGAACGCCGCACTCTGTCGTGAACGCACCTGGTCGAGGATCTTATCCCGATGCTGTGTCTCAGCCCTGGGCAACACCGTTCAGTATTCAACTGGCTCGAATTGCGGGAAATCACATATTGCTCATGGAAGAACGCGCTTTGCCAAGCCTTGATTGAGTAGTGAAGTGGACTTGAAGTAAAGCAGATTGAATCATGCAGCTTGACGGCAATTACGCTTGATTAAGTAAGGGCTTCTGGAAACGAATGCCACTTGGGCGACGGGAAAACTGTGTTAGAGCATCAAAACTGTTGTACCGACTATAACGGCTAGACGATGAATATGATTATAAGGGATCGCGTTTAGTAACGTACGATTTATTACATGTACATATAAACAGATAAGACTCGATGCATTTCAGGTGTAACGTCCATTGATGAATATGTACTGGAGATTTTTATCATGCATAAGTGGTACTCATTTTATGCATATATGTTAGAATTACAAGTGGGCCTAGTGTATAATTTCTAGCTCAATACCCCAGCTGTGAGGCCTTCTACGTAAACGATAAATTCATTAGAGCCACGAATAATCCACTCCTAATCGAAATTTCAGCACTAAACCCGTCTTTCAATGGACACCCATTAATTTGCAGTAACGCAGTCTTATTTGAATAAAAGTAAAAATTGATTCTTTGGTGGTCTGTAAAAATTGTAAATCCATTGTTCTTTTCAGCAGATTCGTTTGCTAGGCTATAGCGATCACGGCATTATTGTTCACTCTATTGACAGATGGATTTCTAAATTGACATTCGAAAATCATCAGCATCGCGGCTCATCTATGTGCGCACCTCATGGGAAGAGGCATTATATCTACTACACGCTGGGCAAACAGCGACCCTCCCCCCCCCCCCCCCCCCTTCCACAAATAATATTTTAACTTACTCAATACGTCAGTATGCGTGGCAAGGACACGTACTATTTTAGTCGCGAGGGATGCAAAGCTATTGATGGCAATTGTGATAGTTGACTATTCGCAGCAGCAGCAACAATAACAACAACATCAACAACAATTTTTACTTATGTTGGATTCTGTTCGTAATTGGTTCTTTGTGACCGTAGTGATGGCTACTTGTAGGGGTCTGGGGGTGAGACTTGTCACCTGTCTATTTTCCCGTCTAATCAATGCTCAGTCGTCATTCCGAGGTGTCTGTTAATCTGTCGGCCTATTTTGTCTATCGAAGCTATAGGACCTTCTTTGATTCTTCTTCTTACCGTTACCACCGATGGATCGACTAACGATCGACGGAGTTGCGACGAGCTAGCCGCCGTCACCACTATTGGTGCTGGTGATTATCAGCAATGTTCAGCATTAACGTCTCAGATTAACGTTGTTGAGATGGCAACGAGCATTTCCAGTCCAGTACCGTTTGCGTCGCAGCAGCAGCGTAATTCGGGTCCGCCGTGGCAGTATGGCAATAGTTGTTCTTCATTTGAGGCCCGTTACGTAAAATAATGTCAGCTGATCAGTTGGTTGCCCACCGTCATCAGAGCCATCGCTGCTGCTACAGCTCCCGTCTTCTATTTCTTTTGTCCTTGTTCGTGTCAAATGTTTTCGTTCTTCATATTTTCTTGTGCTTTCACGATGGAAGCCTCTTCAAAAGTTCTTTGTTGGAAACTCTTCTAGTTCAGTTCTGTAAATCACATTGAACAGAGAGACAATGTCAGTTGTTGGGGACGTACATCGACAAGGCTATTGATCTATGTGTACACGGTTTCTCAGGCATATTAGCAGAGTGGAAACTACTACAGTTGTAATACAATGGAACTACCTATTATGGCGTGACCGCAGAGAATGTAGTTGGAGCCGGTTACCGTTGAGGCTTGGGGTCAAGATGCTCGTTTGCTGACTGGATGCTGAGTATGGTATTCTAATGACTGAGTAATGTCCCTCGACTGGCCGGGGCGAATAGGGCCGCCAGGTATAGCTGTACGGAAAGTCCGAAGGAGATTGTAATCGCTAATTTTTTTTAGAAGCAGCGGCGGCGACGGCGGCTCGTCAATTTGGTGGTAAGCTAACAGCCGCAACGCAATATCCTTTTATTGGCTGTACTTTGCATATAGCATTTTTAGGATAAAATATGTCTGTGTACAGCATCGCGTTTAACTCCTTATAACTTAAGCCAGCATGAGATAATAAAGTGCTATATATAAACCACTTGCAGCACATCTCTTCTATACTTGTGCTTTGTACCATCGACGTACAGGCGAATTCTCAGTGTTCTGTGACAAGCCAGTTTCTGTTGTTAGACTTGCTATTACTCTTATTAGATACGATCATAAGTAGTGTTTACTGTTCGCTATTATAAGTCCCCAGAAATGGACGTTATGCATTTCTCCTGGGCTTGTGGGATAATTGTGTGTCCCTAGTCACACTGTAACGTTCCACTGGACGGCCTGGTCATGCATCAAGGCTACATAGTATCAGATACTTGATGCGTAATATAATCAACGCATATATAACTCACAATCGTATAAGAAATTTCAAATTGTCGACTGTTCTGTTTGTTTCAATGGTGCGTGATCGTGGGACGTCTTCATCTTAAATTCTTACGTTCATTCTTACGATGTACTTATGTATGTTTGATGGTGAATGCTAACGAGTTGATTAAAAGAGCTTGGGTTATCATGCGAGGGTTCGGGAGCTTAGTAAATATTCGGCAATTTTGTTTTAGGTTGTTACTTTCTTTCCCTCTCCAGTTCATGCTCATTTATATTTACCTAGGTACACATATAGATCTGTAGAGTTGATGTTACTTGTTGAACTAATGAATTGATACATTGACACACAGTTTGAAATTTCTAGTATTTAAGTGAGTTGCTAGAACGTTACAGTAGGTATCTATATTTGAAGTTGGCTTAGCTATTCAAGCTCTAAAATAGAAATTGACCGTAAATTTAAACCTGATCAAGTGCATTGATATTTAAAATCAATTCACTTATTCTAAATACATCGACACTAACTAAAAAATATTTTAGGCATAATACATTAGAACTCTATAGAGGACGTTTCTTTTCTTTCGTACTACTTACGTATAAATAGATGTAGGACTAAATAGTTCGGTAAATAAATGTAGCTTCAAAAGCTGCCTTCGTTTAGTTGCCCTGACGGATGCTCTTCCAGGACAGTTTTACCTGTTTCAGGTCATGATGGATATCTTGTCACAGACCCTGGAAGTCGGCAACCTGAAAGACTGAGACGATGCCATTTTGCAAGGCATATTGTTCCTTACATCATAGGTTTCCAAATCCAATATTGCCCTACGCAACTAAAGATAGTGGATGGTTTTGTACATATTGCTGAATAAATTGGCTCCACTTTGCGCACTTTACATCAACCATCACCATAAACATAACGCAGAAATCTCATACGAACAGTTTAGACGGAGACCTTTGCACTGATGTTATGCGGTAATACGATATTGATTATGCATGTTGCCTAAAAGATAGCCAAACGAATCAATCGCTCACGATATCTGCTATATATATTTATACAAACGAGTTGAAAAAGCAATTTCAACATCGTGTGTAATTTGGATAATTTTCGCACTGAAAAGCTGTCAAGATTTTGACAAAAAGTGGTTATCTGTGGGAGCAATATTTGGCAAATAAGGTGAATGATGGCCTTCAAAGGTGATTCGTGCATTTTTGTTATAGTCACTACATTGCCTTTAAGGAAACGGTTCAGTTGCACCTATATAATGACGTGACCATCTGGAATTATCATAGAGGAACAATTTTTCATCATAAGTCACAATTTGTTGACACGGAACAAAGGGAGGTAAGCGTCTTCGTCTTTCTTTATGATTTTTCACTTAAATTTAGCAGAAGCCATTTGTGCAATTCGTTTAGCTTTTTTCGTTTAACAATTTGCTCGAGGTATAAAAGTGTGATATTTGTATAATACACACTTGAGACCTAAATGCTGACACCCATGTATGTTGGGTTTCATATATAGAGGAATACAATTACGTCTTGATTACAAAATAAACGTGTATACAGAATAACGTATTTCATCAAATCAAATCAAACCAATCAATACTACCACTACTACCACTACTAGTACTACTACTACTACTAATAGTACTACTACTACTAGTACTACTACTACTAGTACTACTACTACTACTAGTACTACTACTACTACTACTACTGCTACTACTACTACTACTACTAGTACTGCTACTAGTACTACTACTACTACTGCTGCTACTAGAACTACTACTACTACAACTACTACTACTACTATTGCTACTACGCGCTTCGATTCTATTTTCATCGTTACATAGTGTTGGAATTGTCATAGAGTCGATAACGATACGATGGTAATGTTACGTAAGAAATACCCAAGATGTCAGACATGTAACACGTCAGTGACAAATCATAGTTGCTTGGCAATGATAACTCTCAAAAATTTTGTTTATAAATTGCAGTCTTAATGGCTTTTTTAGGTCTACTCAGGCTTTTGGTAACGTTTTTGTTCGGACTACGCGTTTATATGCAACACAACGGAACAATTCATTCAAATGTGAAAGTGACGAAGGAACGAAAAGAGTCACTAGAGAGAAAAGAGATAATAAAAATACAATCGTCGAATTAGCTATTTAAGCTTTCAGATTATTTCAATGCATGAACATGTTATGGTGTCCACAATGCACCACGAAGAGGTAAATTATTTCATTTGTCACTTCATTGACTCATATCATCCGCCTACCTCCATTTTCGCTGTTGGATAAGTAATCTCATTCTCAGATGTTTAATCTAAAGTGCTTTGATGTTTCAAATCAATAATCTTGTACGATGAAAATTGTTTATTACCTACTGCAATAGAAGCTTCAGTAAGTGCATCCACATGAAAATATGATGATCTCTTCAACTTGCTTCATTTTAGAAAAAGTAGATTAGTACTCTCTTGGCATCACCTGTGCCAGTATATAAAGGTTAAGCAGTGAGATGTAGAACTATGAACAAGGTTAGCAAAATAGCTTTGTTTTATCAGACTTGGTCACCGCAATCCGGGAAACTTCAGTAACGAATCTTCGAGTTTACTAAAATCGTTACTAAGTCGTATGTAGATAAGTAATTATGCATTAAAGACTACAAAGTACGTAAAATAGACAACTACAGTAAGGAAACAACATTGGCGTAATCAGTTAGTTTTACGTATAGATATACTAACGATCGAATCTGTTGTTCGATGGAGTTTATTTATGACATTCAAAACGATTGAAAGAAGCTCCAGGAAATCAATTTAGCGTTAATCGTTATTAAAAAGGATACATATTTGCCGGTGTTACAGACTCAGTATCATAGCGATTAACCTCAAAGATCAGCTAGGTTCTACGTTGACTTCCCCGTTACGTCACCACCAGTTCACGTAAACCTGCCCAGATCTAATTTATCGATGTGTTTGTACGCTTCTACCTAACCTAAAGGCGAAAAGAACTCCACTTCGTAAATTTTTATTCATTGATCGACTGTTGTACTTGATTAAGAAAACCACTGTCGGGGGATAAACCGATGACGGAAACAATGGAGATTGCCGACCTGAATGGAGTGAACGTTGTTCATCGCCGTTGCCCTCCCTTCCCTTCGAGATGCGTCTGGTCGTTGTAATGCTTCACATACGTACGTGTATTAGGTACGGTTTCCGTGAGGCCGATGGGCCAGCTGACTGATTGACAGACTGGGTAACTGCTAGGTCCAATAAGTGCGAAATGCTATAGTTTAATGAAAAGCGGCTCGAAGAACAGAGTTTCTTCTATCTAACGAAATATAAAATTTTATGCTTAAGATGAACTGGAGCTATTAGGGGCACCACTTTACGTCTAGGCATCTATTGACAGCGACATCTATCGACCGATGTTTCGGGCTGAAGAGTTGCAGTGCGGACCTACATGCCAATTGCCACCACCAGCCGGTTGTACTAGAGCAGCCAGGTTGTATTATCAGAATTATCGGTCCCTGGGTCGACGTGACAACACGGAGCACTCGACACCTTGAGCCGCCTTTTTAAGATTTTTTTTTTAAATGTGAATTAAACGCGTTATAATGAAATTACAAAAGGTTTTCAATCAGCCGATGAAAGTGTGACCAATATACCGATTTACGGAACATAGTTTCTTGACCCGTTTCTGTATTCGTAGAACTTGAGGGATAGGTTGATTAAAAAATGTTAAGAGTATTGAATAGATAACAGTGAAAAGTAGCAGGTATAATATACTGGACATACGTCAGAAGAAGAAGAATCGCCACCATCTCGCTAGGGTGAGTGTGGTCCAATGAGTCAGCCAAAAGGTCTGTCTCGTTTTGATATAAACTTTCCACCAGTCAAGCCTAATTCTTACCTCCATGAATATCGATCACGCTTGTCATACTTGTTGGTATTCTTTACCTATTTTTGTCTGACATCATGTTTTTTTATTTGTATCAAAGGAGCGCGATGAACTCCTCAATGGGATCATGTTTACCACTCGTGACATTCTACGAGGTTCAAATACGTCTTGATGTAGTACGAAGGCGTCGAGCCATGCGTTCTCCGTGCTCTTCTCGGTAGTGATCCGAAGCCGGAATAAGTCTCTGTTCTGCTTTATGTTCATGTGGGCTCCTTGTCAAATTCAGTAGAGCTGTAAGGGCATGCCCATTTTTCGGAATATATCCGCAAAAAAATATCCGGACGAAAATCGATTGAACCCCTTCGTTGGCAAGTAAGGGCTCACTTTTAAAGGCGCACACGTATAAATCGACAACTTGTCATTTGTCTGGCATCGATCCTAATTATCTTGATCAATCTCTCGATATCCTTATGGCTGTTTTTGGAGCTCCGCTTCGTACGAAATCGTTGATCAAATAAGAACGAGTACAGGAACTTAATTAATGACGAGCGAGTACGACAAGAACGCTTCGACGAGGTCACAGCTGATTTGAAACATGCGTTAGGTCACGACGGGAAACATCGAGTGTCTTCAGAAGGCGGCCAGGAGACTCAAAATTAATATTCGCCGACTTAATGAGGACTTAATAAGAAAGCACCATTTATCGAACATAATAAGCGCACTTATTTTCTCAAGACAGACACTCTTTGTTTCAGCTGGAGGACCTAGTTACGAAGTGGCCGTCGCCTTTGCAGTATTGGCACGTATCGATACCTAACTGGACCTCACCCTATCTAGATGAACATCTCGGTCTGGTTATTAAAATTGTACCTATCGAAGATTAGACAAGACTGAACCTGGTCTTCCCACTACCAGATCTTCCCAAACATTATAAAACTAAATGCGAGCTTTATTCGGCAACACTTTTGAGGCGCGGGGGGATTGGCAGTATCTATTCGGACCTGCGCACAAAAGGCCTACTAACCTGGATGGAAGCCACAATAAAAGGCGATACTGCCGGTTATTATCATATTGACATTTCATTCAAGCTACCGAAGTAAGGAGTCGACTGCGTCGATGACATTATCACTGCCCTATTTCAGTACGTGGGCATGCTCAGGCAACAAAGACCGAAAAAATCGCTACTCGATTAATTCGTCAAGGTTGATAATAACAGTTTTCAAAGTTGTCATAGGTACTTAATCGCAAGTGCCCTAGTTCACCTGTGTCAGGATCTGCGGAGTTTTTCTTGCAGAGAGCATCACACGAATCTAATATGTGTTTCGACCAAGACCTGATCAGCCCATTTACCGCTCTTATTGATCTGTCAGGAATGGGGGTATTTGTTTTGCAACCGTGATGCTAATCTACAGCAGGAATCTTATTATACTTTATTAGTTATAAGGTAGAGCACATTAGAATTGACAAATTTCAATGATGGGTGACGATTTCTAGCAGCAACTCCACGTCTACCGGAATAGAGCCACTTTATTCTGGACAAGTTTAGCCTGACACTCTATGAAGACTATTATCTTTGCATATTAAAGCTCATAGTTAACGAACTCTTGTCCCGGTTCATATAGGACAGGTCTCTAAATATGCCACGTATAATGCTGTGTTCGTTGTTTCGCGAGTGTCGGGGACGTGGCCTGCTTCGAAGTGATGATTTGCGCATCTCGGTACATGGTCGCCAAGACCTTTTATGAGGCCCATTTGAGCGGATGTGACATTCAGGTAGGACGTTACACTGGCGAGCTTTTGCTTCATCAGCACTATTCAGAAAATTGTTAGTGCATTTTGCATCGTACGGTATTGAAGATTGCCGGATAGAGACTACAAAGCGGAGCTACAGATGATGACTCATGAACGTCATATAGGACTTTGTAGTTTCTTGTAAATCCGTATTACAGGAAAGCTACTTCAGCATTGCTTAGCTACTGTCGATCCTGGGTAACGGTATGATCAGCCCAATGGATACTCGACAATTTAAGAAGCGACCCTACAGTCGAAACATTTATTCACTCATGTAGTGTCTCTGCTGAAGTAAATTTTCTGTGTGTGCCACAGCCATCTTTAAACGTATGTATTTTACCCACTATCGTACACATAATCCACGCGATACTGAACAATTTATTTTAGATACGATGCAGTGCGCATATGCATACGCCAAATCACAGAGGACCCATCTATTTATTGCATATCGAAACAAAGATATCGATCGGATCAGAAGACAAACCGGGAACGGTTATTCGTGTCAAAAGAATACAACATGTCTAGATTCAATGAATAGCGATATAATGTTGTAGTGTACGTTACCTACAGACCTGGCAGATGCGATGATAACCAATTATTTGTACACTAAGTGTGAAAAAGATCGCATGGCACTAGATCCCTAGATAGAAACCACACGTTTGTAATACTTAGATCAGAACAATCAAAGGCAGAAGTTTTGCGCATTTAAGGCAGAAGTTTAAAAAAGGGCACCGATAATGAGAGATTTCAGTTCTCAGAAAAAAAATCAATGAGTTAAGTATCAGTCAATCGGTTAGGAGTATTATAAACGAATTCATTCCATACTCTACTTTTCATATGTTTGAAATTTGCTATACTTACATAATTCGACTAAAGACTAAATTTGTTGGCCAATCTACCAAAAAAAAAACAACAGTTCCATTAATCGCACTATTTAATGGACTTGTCTGCTAATTCTAGCTATTTCGGCCATGCGGAATCGCTTATTCAGATTAATTCCTCTTCATTGAAGCCCAGTTTCTTTACGACGAGGAAACCCAGGAGTGTTGCATTGGATCAAATGGCACTAACAAACATCGAGGCTATTATTGGACGATATTGCTATGTGAAATGAGCACCATTACTGCTGAAATTCAGGCGCAATCTGTCTTTGAGGGGACGTTGCTTAGCGGCACCAATAATCCCTTTTGTGTCTTACAGGCGACCCTAGAGGACGATAATTCCTACTCTACAAGGCGACATGGGACAAATGTTAAGTCGAAATAATTATTCTTGGTAAGTCTCTGTACGTACTGTGTGGTGCAATGAATGCAGGACCCACGTATGGAGAATCGACTGACGTCATTTTATGTCCGATGGATATTTTTGGGTTTATCAATCAAAATCGACGAGACATGTTATATTGTGTGGTACCGACACTTGGACAGCGCTGCCGAATACGAAGACATATTGTTTCAATTAGACGACGTGTTGATTAAACGAAACCAAGCTCAATGTTCATATTTAATTTCAACATGGTTCAAAAGAACACCTTTGATTGTCCTAATAATCTAAATTATTTTTACGAACAGAGAAGCCCTTTCCAATCTACTTAAATATGATTGATATCTGTTTTTTTTTTGTAGTAGTAGTAGCAGCAGTGATGCACAATATTTAGAAACGTATCAGTAATAGGATAGCACAATCTCCCATCAAAGCGGGAAGGTTTCTTACGTCGGAAAGCAGGCTTAGATAAATCTATTTGCCTACTATTGCCTATTAAACAGCTGAACAAACTTCCCCTGATATAGGGCTTGTATCACGACGGAACTTTTTTCTCCCTGGTAACATTTAAAATCAATGGAACTAAACGGAACGATGCCGAATGAAGACCTGTGATCCATGCTTGTTGCAAAGTCTGCTTGGACTAAACAGCTTTATCGTACTTGTTCACTGGCACAGTAAGTAGGCATGTTGCGAGAGCAAACAAATGCGTTAGTATAGATTGTCCGTTAAGTTCGGAGTTACGTCAATCACAATGATTTATTGAAACAGTAAAGCTTTGAAGTAGAGCGCTGCCTGTTCTACAGTAGTGTTTAAAACGAACGATTTGAAACAGAGAGAAAATGATCGACACAAACACATGTTAGACTACTATTGGTATTAACAGACACAGGGCACCGATTAAAGATGGAAAATACTGAAACTATAAAAAGTTGGCGGACACTGTTTATTTTGTCGTGTGTCGAAAACAAGTTTGGCTATTTCGATTATAAGCGGATCGCATTCTAAATCTTTATCCTAATCTTAAAATAGACCGACAGTAAAATGTTAGAGTAAAGCGCATTGTTGTTCGCGTTCAGGCCCACTACCTAACAGGTTATATAAATGAAGGCATTCAAAGATCTTCAAATTGCCCTAAAAGAGTTTACAATGGCTCTTAGACTGACTACAACAAAGAACTCCCTTTTTAAGATGACTTTTTAACATAAAGATCACATTCTTTCTTTGGGCCCACAGAGATTCCTCTAAAGATACTTCTCTAGAGTTCCTTCCAAAAAGCAAGGACCCAAACCCTCGACATGGCTTAATACACTGCAACACAGCAGGAGGTGTTTCGACTTCAAATCTAAAAGAAACACGGATCAAATAAGACGAGGAATTATGCTTCGTTCTCGAGGGCAGGTTATCCTATGAAGAGTGCGTACAAGGCTGGATGTCGTAAGGTGTATTAACTGAAATGGCTAACACTGATTCCACGAGCGAGCCAAATCGAGTTCTTCATTGCGTATTCCAATTATTCGCTGCGAAACGCAAAGATAACACAGCCAAGCTTTTATCTTGTTCATGCAGCTGTGCGTCAAACAAAAAGTCGGTCTTCCTCAATATGCGCACAAGGGTTCATCACAGCTGTTAGCCCCCTAGCGATACTTCTGCGGTGTGTTAAGGATCACAAGCAACAAGATAACACAGTGTATGCTCTCGTTTCAAATCGGTCTGAACTGTCGGAGACAATACTTCACACCCCTATGAGAACCGACCGCCATCGTTGTCTACTAACTCTTCACAATGGAGTAATTTCTACGCTCTTCGCAATCGCCTGGCTTTATCAGATCAGCCAAGCCAAGTATCGTCAGATTGATCTGAGCCGATCAGCTCAGAGAAAGCGCGTACCACTGGACCAATGCAAAAACATGGAGGAACAGTTGGCATCGATCGAGTTGTGCGAGTTTGCTACAGGAACTGCAACGCGCCGCTTGAACAAGACTATCAAGATAAAGCCGTCACAACTGGTCGTCAACGAAATCGGAGCGGGTGAGATGACACGGCTGGAGAGAGACACCTGGTAGACCTCGAGTAGTCACATCGAGATTTACCAAACAGAGTGAGCGTCCACTGTGACAGCCGGAGCGCAGTCAGATCACATGTACAGAATAGGCCACAATCTGAACTTGGAAAAAATGCCTCGAAACCATGTCTTTGCAGATTGGGATATAATGAAGGTTTGCTCATTAAGCTGTTGAAACATTTCAACGACAAACAATTACGTAGCCGCTGTGAAGACTGGTTTAATCTGGTTATGTTTTGATATGAATAGAACTAGGTAGATAAATTGATACAAGTTGTGAAAATGAAGGGTGTACGGTAATTGCCAGTGCGACGCGGAGACAACACATATAGGGACCTGGAAAGGAACGTACAAAAACTCTTGCCGCTGTCTCGTTTAGATGAATGTAACACAATGGTTCGGCCAGAAATTCCGTCTCAGTTCGACATGGATTTGCCACAAATCAAATCTAGCCGTAGTCGCCTGTTCTCACGGATGTATACTGTGCTCGCCGTGACGCTCACAATCACTACCGTGGTTCTTTCCGCCATTGTGTTCGCTTTGCTTCCTCCTAATGAACTCCCGGAAGGGGTCACGTTCATCACTCAGGACATCCTCAGGCCCAGTAACTATGTCTTAAGGCAGTACGAAGGCCTAGAGCTCCACAATGGCCTGCGTGTTCTGCTTGGCAGTGATCCAAAAGCAGAGGAAGCTTCTGTTATGCTCTGCGTTCAGGCCGGTTCGTTGTTCAATCCACCAGAGCTACCAGGACTCGCGCACTATACCGAGCATATGCTATTTATGGGCAGTAAAAAGTATCCGGGCGAAAACGACTGGGATACTTTTATTAGTAAGCATGGATCACTTCCAAACGCGCAAACGGATGCAACGGCGACATGCTACTTCTACGAGATTGATCCCAATTATCTTGACAAGTCACTCGATATTCTTTTGTCTGCTTTCACTGCTCCGTTATGCAGAAAGTCACTTATCGAATTAGAGATCAATGCGGTCGATAATGAGTTCCGTGACAAGATGAATGATGATGAAACACGACAACAGCGGGTCGACGAGGTGACAGCCGATCTTGCACATCCGTACAGTCTATTTAAAATTGGCAACATAGAAAGCCTTCAGAAGGCAGCTAAAAGACTCAACATTGATCTTCGTACAGCTGTAATGAACTTCATAAAGAAATATTACTCGTCGAATCTAATGAGCGCCCTCGTGTTCTCGAGTCACTCTCTGGCTCAGCTAGAGAAATTGGCAGCCAAAGCATTCTCGTCCCTGGTAAATCGGCACACACCATTGCCCAACTGGACATCACCCTATCTAGGTGAACATCTAGGCGTATTTATTAAAATCGTACCTGTCGACGACGAGACAAGGTTAAAACTAATTTTTCCACTGCCGAACTTCGATAAATATTACGAGAGTAGACCTGAACAATACTTAGTCTCACTCTTAGGCCACGAGGGGGCTGGAAGTATTTACTCGAATCTACAGAAGAAGGGTCACGTAATTCAACTGGAAGCCTCGACAAATGACGATATGCCTGGTAATAACTACATAGATATATCATTAAAGCTACCGAACGAAGGAGTTGATTACGTCGATGACATTATTGGGTCAATTTTTCAGTACGTAGCTATGCTTAAGCAGAGCGGACCTAAAAAGTGGCTATTCGACGAAATAGCTACGATAAGTACCAACAGTTTCCTATACCCTCGAAAAGATTTTACTGAAGAGGAGCAAATTACACTATGTAAAGACCTAAATAACTTTCCTTGGCGGCATGCACTGTCAGGAAGATATGTCTTTGATACGTTCGACGCAGATCTGATCAGCCACTTCACCGACCTTATCGACCCTTCGAGGATGCGGGTATTCATACAGTCGAAGAGCTTTGAAAACATAACCGACAAGCAGGAACATTACTATAATGTCAGGTATAAGGTCGAACGTATTGGAGATGATAAAATTCAACGATGGAAGAAAGCAACACCGAGTCCCTACTTTACTTTACCAGAACGGAATGATCTCATTCCGGACAACTTCAGTATAGCTCTTAGTGAAGACCGTTATAACTGCTTACCGGACCTTGTCGTCAACACATCCTCGTTTCATATGTGGTTCATGCAGGACAGATCCCTGAATATGCCATACGCAACGTTCCTCGTTATAATTCGTCATCCTAAGCTTGTATCAAGCGTCGAGAATGTTGTGGCACTCGAAATGATGATTCGACTGTTTATGTACTCGATTACTGAATCGTTCTATAACGCTCGTCTGGCTGGATTCAGCATCAATATAGGCCGCTCCAATGAGGGCTTTTGCATTTATGTGGACGGCTATAACCAGCACATGCACAGTTTAATTAAAAAAATAATGAAAAGCCTGAGTACCTATCGAATTGCCAATTGGCAAACTGACTTTTTCAAGCTAAAAAAAGAGTACGAAGAGTACTTGCTAATGACCATTAATGAACGACAGACGGGCAGGACAAGCATCCAGGACCTTATAAATCCTTACCTACAAAGAAATTATTTCTCTCTTTCTCAGCTATTGTCCAGCTTAGGCAATTGTAGCGTGGAACGAACACAGGAAATACTGGACACATTAAGAAACGACTCTACAGTGGAAGCATTCATCCATGGCAACAGTGTCTCCGCCGAAGCAAAATCTGTTGCCGGGACGATCGTGTCTACTTTCAAACGTACGTGCCTTTATTTCGATTAATCTAGACTACAGTCAAATTATTCCGCTCAATATGAGTAGAACTCAAATTTCGAGGTTGCCAATCTTGCTATAAATAAGAAAAACAGATCCAATTTTTGTAGCTTTTTTTTTGCTACGACATTTAAATTTTCCCCAAAAAGGCTAAAGACTTTCCTAATAACAAGAAGACTAAACTAGGCAGTCACAATAACATCAAGCAGATTTCTCAATTCTATGAAACAAATTATTATTGATTTTGATAGTCATCATATTAGCTGCTTAGTTTTTCATTTGCCGTGAACGAACAAACCATTGACCTTCTGGTTCAGTATTTTGATTTAATGTAAAATTACGATGTTATGTAAAATGGCACGCCAAACATTAGATTCATAATAATGACCTTAAAAATGACAAGTTTTATAGAAAAAGTAGTGCGAAAAATGGCCACTACTATTTATAATTAAAACATGTACAATTGCGGCGGTAAAAGAAAAAGGATCTAATATTTTGATGATATTAAGAAACGCAGTACTCACACATGATTTCAACTATTATCAAACAAAATCTGTACGCAGGCGCAATTTCTCTTCATCAGGAGAGCAATAGGCATCTATATTTTCTTTTGCACGTTCTAGGTAGCTACGGGCTTCAACAATTATATTATAATCCAAATTTCAAAATTAGCATTCGGAGATTAGAGCTTTTATGTTTCGTAATTCCACACTAATACCATTATGTACGAACCAGATTCGAAATGAGCTGTCCTCGGTGTACGCCGGACACATTAGACCAAAATGTTTGTGTTACATTTTAACACTATTTTACCATTTACGAAATACTTAAAAAGATGTGTCTTTAGATCATGGTACGACTTTAATCTACTCCTATAGCGAACGCTTGTAGTCCGAAAGAAAGTCATAATAATTATTTCGATATATTTTCGCCTTCCAAGCCGTATCAAATCGTTCGTTTGAATCAGACTTTTTTTTCACCGACACTATGTGCCAGTACGTACTTCCCGGGGACACTGAACTGGAAAGAGGGCATATGATTAGAAATCTTCAGACCGGTATTCAAATTTACCGGTATCCAATTGAGAAATGGAAATGGAGATCGACCGGTGAGCTTTTAATGCCCGGGTACGCATTAGTGCTATCCATTAGCAGTGGTGGCCCATTGTCTCTTAGTGCATTAGTCTCATAAATGATGAAAGGAATGATAACTGTTCTATATTACGCCGTGAAAATAAACTCATATTACCAGGGAAACGGGGTAAAGTATTCAATCATGAGGCAGCTGCACTTCAAATTTTGCCCTGGAAAATTAACAAGCGCAGCCTTAAAAGGTAGCAGAAAATTCTAAAATTAATTTTCAGACTGGTTGTTCCTTTTTTTGTCTTTCTATTTCCAAAAAAATACCTACTTTTACAATGAAGTAGGTATTTTTTTGCTAACTGTAACCGTATTTTTTTAAGCTGTTTTTGATAGGACAAACTACTCTGTTTTTTGCCGTACGTTCTTTGCGTTTTTTTATTTTTGATTCGGGATGATATCTAGACTCATTCGGCGACTTCACGCCACTTAACAGTCTGCGGCAACCAACAATAAGCCTTAGCTTAAAGGAACGATGAACGCCGTCGTCGTTGAAACTTACATCAAGTCCTAACGTAGACTTGAATTGCTCAGCCTACCGTATGTTGTGACGGAAAATTCAGAGTGACATTTCACTTAGAAACATTGAAACTTAGTTATAATTTCAGAATATGCATCCGATACAGTACAATGAAACGTTTGCTCAACTTACTACTTAAGTCGACAGTACGACTACAACCACAGCCGGCTATAATTAGTTATTAAATAAAAAAAAAATACTGTTAATATTTTTGCAGGCGGTGTGTTGAGTTTCTTAGACACCCCATCGTTACGTCAAGCTAAACTTCGTCGTGGCGTCGCTTATCGTCAATATAAAGTGAACGCGCAGCTTTCATCAAACCACCTGTATATGTTTTTCGAAGTGGATCGAGCTGGGAACGCTGAGGATCGTCTCGTAGCGCTTTGCGCTCTTTTTGCGAAGTTAATTAAAGAGCCACTTTTCAATGTGATCCGCACTAAGGAACAGTTGGCTTACATGGTGCAGGCCGTCGACAAGGCACAACAGGGTTCATTCGGTATATACTAAGATTTTACATGTTGGAAGTCTGCATGATGACTCTCGTTTGCAATGATAAACGCTCTAAAATTGAAGACCTACGTGTTGGCCAATGACTCAGACAAATGTCTTGCTGTTAAGAAACAAATTGTTGATCTCAAACTTTTTGTATGATAATAATGAGTAGATCTAACTTCTGTTGCAAACCTTTCGTAGTGAAACTTGATTCAAAGAAATCCGAGTCTAATAAGAGTTCTATGATGTCTGGAGCAGGAGTAGCGTTCTACCTTGTGACGAGTTACAAGCTCAGCCATGTAGAAGACCGGTTGGCGAAATTTGTGCGAGAATACTTCAAGGACTTTTTGACAAAACTCACTTACGAGGCCTTTGCAGAGCAAAAACGAACCGCCACGAAGCAGAAGTTAAAGAAACCTCAAAAAATGGAAGACGTCACTGCACTGTGTGTTTAAAACGCGAACGCTCGAAAATTCGGCATTTTTAATATAATTCAAATTAAACATGAGCTACATAGAGGATTCAAAACGACCCGTACAACCTGCAGATCATCACAGGGTGATAACAATTACATGGTCTCTGCAAATAGTGCATTAATTTAGCGAAATAGTCAAGTCAATTGCACCCTCATTAGTGTGAACTATACACTTCGTTCACATAATAGTTCTTCCAACATTGGACCTATCTAATATCATGCTAACCAAAGAACTACGGTTTAATGTCCTATTGACAAGAAGGCTCACAGTTTACTCTTTCTTTAGATTCTGGCAAGAGATGGTGGACCAAAGTTACATACTTCAGCGGACATCGAAAGAAGGAGCAGCGATGCGATCGCTAACTAAAGAGGACATCATACAGTTCTACGAAAAGTTCCTTGTTCGGTTAGAATCGACTACGGTTTATGCGCTCTATTTGAGCAATAGCATGGTGAGCTTGACTTTTATAATACAACGATATGAGCTCGAATATTTATTATACGTTCTTGTATGGAGACGAAAACAGGATTTGGCGTTCTGTCTAAAAAAACAGATTTCAGCCGATCAGTTAAGTTTCGAGTTCCCGCCAGGTTTTGATACGGGGGCAAATTAAATTAGTTTGTGTTAAAATGCTAGATAAACTTGAAAGTAGTTTTTTCTCGAGTTCTTTTTTTACGCATGTACGCAGTATTTTGTACATAATCAATGAACTTTTCGGCAAATATACATTGACAAAAAAAAAGATGAAATAATCATGTCATATCTTTTTAATGGTTAGTTAGAAAGCTCAGGACAACTTCACCGATAATTGCTACTTACGGCGAATAATCAACTACGCGCAGCCTTGCAAGGACACTAATAGTTGTAATGAATTTCTATTTGTTGCAGGATCAGAGCCGGGTCGAGTGGTCTGCCGCTAATTACAACGTTACGTCGGTCGACTCCTTTCGCGCCGACCACGAATACCACTCATTTGAGAAGGATCGTTCTATAGCACGTATGTCGCCGCCGTCTATATAGACACTTCGGTCAGTAATCCAGTTCTTAAGTGATTAAATCGCCCTGAACTACTTCTGGATTATCGCGCAGCAGCAGAACCGCTGAATCAAATTTGCCGCCTTACCCATACAACCAAATATGCTCAGACGAAACGAAGAGTCCATCTAGAAGTGGCAACTGTTTCACCACCTAACAATTCGACTTGGTAATGGAAGTACTTCAAATAATCTGCCAAAAAAGGTGTTCAAGTTTTAAAAAACCGTCGGTAACAAAGATGTTACGTCGGATAAAGACAGATTACATTTAAATTGTTAAGAATATCTAATGATTTATATTTAGCAAGAATAAGTAGAGGAAAAAACAACTGCTTGTGAGAGGTCTTTTTCACTAAGATCACAGTATCAAGTCAGTGTAATGCGTCTCAAGAAATCATATGGCAAACCGTGGCTATATACTAAATGCTTTCAAATTAGCCGTGTAATTTAATGGATATCCCAATGTAAATTTTATTAAAGTAGCACAAACCGACACCGATACAGCTACGGTATACTAAAACCAAAAATAATAGCATTCGGAACCTATTACCGTGTGTACTCCAATCTGCGGTGTTTATGTTTGACAGTTCTTTATTAAAGAGTGGCATGTCTAATTATATATTCGATATAGAGTAGTGTTATATGAGTTGAAAAGAACACTCATGTAGGTAGTCTGCCACAGTGCCAATGGCACGACTCGAGGTACTTGGAGCGGCCGTCAATCATTCGTGTGACGTGCCTTTCATATTCTTCGCCTCCATGTTCAGATATTAATTTTGTCAAATACAATGCATAAACTTTGTGAGCTAAGTAATTGCGTAGTTCGTTATTTATTATCGTTGACTTACTCAATGCCTTAGCATTGTTCACGGCATTTAAAATTACATCATCTACAAGCGCTCGCTTAGCAAAGCGAATGCATGTTCTTCATTCGCCTAAATACCGTGATAAATTGCGGTCAGACTCCTACTACTCGAATTACTATTGCCGGTACAGATAGGTGGCCGAACTCTTCTTTTCATGATCATAGATGTTGTCGAATGGTACATCAACATGCTCTCGCCACGCTTTGCCCTTTTTAGCTAGATTTTCACAACACGACTACTTATCACGGTAGTACGAGATATCACTAGATACATAAGAATCAGCAGCAACTTCGACCGGTCTAAAAAATTCACAAGCGTACAAGCCGCTTACAAGTAACCATTAAAAGCCATACAATTTCAGACCAACGTTTTGCTAATTTGTCTTGTACCCAAATACAGAAACAATCGATCTTATGCAAGGAGTTTATTACGATAAAAATGAACTACATGAAAAAGAATAGGATTAGAGTCGGGCTTGTTTGTTAAGTTTTATTTCTTTCTCCACATGTTGTGCGTTGCATCTAATTTGCACTAGTAAAAGGGTGTTAAATATCGTGTCAGAGAGTCATAAAATAAATGTATCCTCAGAAAACTAGCAAATTTCATGCGCTTCATAAACCAACAACACGATTGTTGTCGTACGCTAATGTACTATTGTTGCATATAAGCCACTTAGATTAAAGGACCTTTGGATCGTTGAAGTAAAAAACGCAAACGACCCAATGGGTCTAACTCGTTTTTGAAGTACACGGCTACTAACGTCAAGTAAATCCTTAGACAACGTCACCACGTTAAAAATTACGTTTTCAACTTAAAACCGACATTTTCTTAATCATCCATTTTTATAGATGTTTCAATACAAAAAGCGATATCTTCTTATTGCTTTTTCGAAGGCTCATGACATGTTCTGCTCCTTATTATTAAAAGTGATCTATTTAATAGGGATCTATTCGAAAATCCAATAGTCAATTCCCAATTATCGGTTTTTTTTTTGCAAATAGATGACTAAGTCGAATCATTTTGGTAAATCGAACTGTATTCGAAAACCGAAAGGAAACTAAAAGTAAGCAATTCGAGGTCGAACAGTTCTGTAGACTAACAACTGGCACCCAGTGTATTAATATATCTTTTGACAATACGATAAAAAAAAGGCCCACATGTGCACATATTTTTAAGCAGCGTCATTTATATTTTTGATATCTATTTAGTTCAGCTGCACAAGAGACAATACTCTTCGAACCTGCAAAGGTCATTTCGCGTAATATAAATATGCGGATATAAGCGCCCGACCTTCTGAGATCTTTTTAGAACTGAGCAGCATCGAGGCCGATCTGTCAGAACGGTAAATGGTTGCGTCTTCCTAGATTCGCAAGGATACGCATGTGCACTATCGCCACACTCGGTTGAATATTAAAAATGATATCTTTCAAACAAAATATATAAGTCCATTACTAATGGAGTAGGAAACAAGCAATCTGTGCGACATTATCTGACTAATATATTAATTATACCACTTTCGCTATCCTAAGTTACGTAATATATAAATAGCTTGAGGAGACCGTCAAAAAATGTTTATTCGTACATGCCCAAACAAGTTTGCTTTACCGTTTAGGTAAGTTCTGCTTTCAAGTTACAGAAATGCTTTATTCGATAATAACAACGTTTCTACTGTGAACTACACATACAGCGTTAAGTACGCGTAAAAGTCCAGCGTTGTTAAGGGTGAACTGATAGTCGAATTGCAAGCTAAAGGTTCGTGTCGTCCATAACCATGTACGATGCAGCTTTAAAGACAGTACACGGAAAGCTGCCTGTCTCAATTTTTTGCTGCAAATGCCGGCTCTTGCGCATAATTTTGTTGCAAGAATGAATCTCTTTTTGATAAAAAAAATTTACGAATGGTGTGCCGACTAATATATACAATTCACAATTCTACAGTTAACTATGCGCGACGTTTAATAAATACAGACTGAACCATAGTTTTTTTTATTAGTAAGTACAAAAATCCAACCGTACATTTGTCGTGCTAGGTAAAGTTGAAAAATACTGCTATGTACTATATATTATAGCTGTCGAATTATAATATACGCTACTTTATCTACAGCCGGATTCCATACCACCATGGCACTCGTTATGGTTTAAATTGGCATCGAAATCAATATATGGATTTTTAATTCCGATGCGAGTGCTGAAGATGTGCTTCGACAATATCACCGGAATCAATACCCAGCTGTGCAGGAGTTCCATTATCTTCCATAATTTCATCATCAAATTTAAACACGACATCGGTTCTCTGTACGCCCGCCGCGACACAGTAACGCTTGAATATAGCTCCAAGTGGCTCATTAGATTTACACCGGATCTCTTTCGTTTCACGGCGATTTCCGGTAATAAACTTGATTCTGAACCCCGCTGGGGACGCGCCGTGAGTATCGCTGTGCCCGCTGATAGGAACAAACTCCATTCGTGTCAAGCCAACGGTAGACAGACCCAAGCTCTGGACGGTGTCTTCTGGCAGGACTTCGCGCCGATTCTCTTCTGAGCCCATCATCAGAATACCTTTCCGGCCAGTAATGATTGCTGCCTCCGAAAACAGTTTCTGCATGTTGTCTTTTTCTGTTAGTCTCACTATGACACGAGCGTCTTCGTTACAGATTTGAGTTATGACGACTCTGTAGATGTTTCCTTCGGTTTCATCATCCAGCTCAGTTCGATGAGAAATGTTCAGATCGATCAAGCTTGCGTCGCTAACGCGTGACGACCTTTTACTCATATGATAATCACCGCCGTTATCTGAGCAGTCGCTATGATCATCGCTATCACTAGTAATTAGATGAACGTAATTGCGTAGACCTACGTAACTCTTAAAAGAGGACCCGCGACTTGATCTGGTTCGTCGGGGACGTTTTCGCACGGGACTAACGTTATCATCGATCCTGGACGGTGAGTTCGTCAGATCAATAAGCTGAATGAAGTAAATGAAATAGTACGAAAAACGGTAACTTGCAACTATTTCTATATAAGTATTCAGCGGCATATTAGCACGACATCGAATTCATGTAATTCTATTTAAAAAACAATTACGTTATCATAGCTGCAGTAATCAAAATATTATAAAGAATTTTAATGATTGTTGCCTAAAGTATCAACAATATTAACCAGTTTTTTACGCAATCAGTATGCATTTTGTTGCACTCAATAAAACAAAACTGCATTACATTTTAACTTGTTCACCAAATGTATTATAAAAGATATTTACTCAGCAGATTTATAACTCGATTATATAGATTTATAACTCAGCACTTAACAAATTAATTAATTGATGGGTAAATGACAGTGAGCTTCTATCACTTACTCATTGCTCTCACCTCCAATGTTTTCTTGGGACTCTCAACAGCTGTTGCCATTTCCAGCTGAATACGCTCGCCTTCTCGAAGTTTTCGAGTGACGTCTTCATTGAAGATGCCAGGCACGTCAAAAACAGATTTGCTTGCTTTACAACGTAGAAATTTTCCACAGTCATCGCTTTCACTTCCTGACATGTCGGACTCAATTAGACCCGCGAGGCCGTGAACTGTTCGGCTTACAGCCATTATGAGCGCAGTACTTTGATACGTATAAAAACTGCAAATGAGAGAGATGTCCGGTACGGAGTTATTTGGTATTGTAGTAAATTAGATTATCAAAAAAGAGTGGAGCTTCAGCTTATTTCAAGCCAGGTCTATAAGTGGGTTCTTAGTAAAAGCTTAAAATTGGACTCAATTTTGAACTTTATATGCGTTACCAAAAAATAACTCGATAAAAGAGCCATTTGTCAAAGTCAAAGTCTATCGCCCGCCATCTTAATAATATTTTTATAATGATCTGAAAATTAGAAACATTATGCTGGTCGCAGACATCGCTCTTTAAGTCTTTCTTCCGGATGAGTAAATTTGTCAATTATCAAAATGGGACGCACTGTTGAAAACAAACGATGCATATTTCACTATCATATTACCCTCTGACTGTATTTTAGTGAATCATAAATAAAGCATTAAATAAATATCAGATAATTCACAAGTGATTTGATTTTTTTCCTTATTAGGACATAATAGAACGAGGTCACAGTTTTAATATGATATAATAATATTCCAATATAGCCTTGTATATAATGAGAACCACTGCTCGTTCATTTACAGCTACGCTAGAATAGTGTATGTATTTGCGTTTGTATACAAAATTTGGTACCATTATTACTGAAATGTGTAAACTATGTATATATATATATATATATAGTTTACACATTTCAGTATAAAAAAGGGGAGCGGCGCGAACATGCTTGCTAATAAGTATTACGCAAAGAAAAGAAACGAACATGCAACATCTCTTTATAAATAACAACGTCACTTCTGCTGGTCACCGAATATTTACTGGTAATGGTCATATTCTATTAACGTCGAAATGGATTGATGCTTTCATCGATTAGACTTCCGATCAAAAGACACAAGAAGAATATGCAACCTACTGCTTCTAGCTTCCTTGACGACACATACGTATTGCACAATTGCAATGAAAAACGTTATTCAAATGGATTCAACCACCTCCTTTTGAGTAAATCACAATTTCACTGCGTCGGCTACAAATCAGGTAATCGCTTCCTTATATTTTATAAGCGGCCTGCTACCTCCATACGTAAAAATGGCATCAGTTGTTAATCACAAGAGCTCCTTTGACCGAACTCAGCTGTTAGGTATGTTAACACTAGCTCGCAGCGCTTCTTTTTATAAACACATCTGTTAAAGCACCTCGCTGACTGGCTTCGAAAAACGATGTTAAGTTTCGTCGTTCATGGTTTGTTTACATTGGTTACCCTCTCCACTGGGTTGCGTCTTGTCTGAGCTGCATCGAAGCTCGACGGGTTTATCTACTGCCATCTATGTTCATCAGCTGTCAGGCGCGCTTTTTCATTTCCGTTGTAGCGTAGCGGGTAAGTTAAATCGCTTAACTTGGAGACACGTAATAATCTATGTTTGAATCTAGGCGTAGACATACTTTGTTTCGTGCTGAGATCCATGCTACCGTATTAAACGAATGTCTAGTGGCCTAAGCACCCGAGTTAAAACACGGAAAAAAAGTTATGTTCTGTGCTTGAGCAGGTGTTTAATGCCATTTGTTCAATCATATCCCTAACGAGACGCAAGTGAGAAGTTCGAAATAAGGCAAGATACATAGTCCATTTCTAAACTTGGAGAGAGATGCACTACTGTCGTCTTCAGATGTCCTATACTGTGCTAATGGTGACACCTAAGAATCGTGCCATTACGCAGTCAACAATTCTGGCCGATAACAATAGATAAGATAAAGCCGGCTTGCGCCCGCCTTTCTTCCATTATCCGTCCGGTTTTTCCAATTTCTGGAAGACGTTTTGCGATGCTTCCACCAAAAACGAGGGAATATCAAAAAGCATCACTGTCTTAATAGGCCCTGTTAGCGGGACCATGACGTTTTTGGAGAGAGGTAGCCATCGTTCGAAATCGTAGTGACGACTGCAGACGCCACGTTCACCTTCACCTGATATGATATAATGCAACAGATGCTATCTTCAAACAGAAACAGTGCAAGGTGACCGGGTCGTCTCTGCTCCCGTTTTTGCGTTTGTTGTCGGAAACGAACTCGGGCTTGTCTGTCTGCTCATCTGCCTTTTGCTTTTTTGACGGATTCATTTTGTCGACAGGTGAACCAGCATATCTTTGACCTGCAGTATCGCTTCCCATTTATTTGTTTCGGATTTCCGTTGTCCGTATTCGGTACGTAGCACTGGTTTGTTGATATTCATGTGGATTCTTCCCTCACCTTTTCAAAGATAGGAGGACCTGCTCTGTTAATTATACCATGCATAGTGTTCACTGGGTGACCGTTCGTCTCAGAACACCGTGTATTTGTGTAATACAAATTACAAAGAAATTTTAAACGTCAGATAGCGTTCGGAACTCTGGTAAAAACAAACCTCTTGTTTGTTTTACCGCTTGGCCTGATTTGGTGATTTTAGATTCCACGCGTGGAGACTCAGGCTTGCCTATATACACGTCATCTATGGCGAGAGGCCAAGTAATGATGCAGTGACTTTTTTGCCTACTAAACTTAGAGACACGTAAGGTGCGGGCCGACGGCAGACACACCTAATCATATGTTGACAGAGGGGACAATATTTAACGGTAGTACCGAGCGTAAAACTCGTTCCACTCGCCGTTTATATTTGTTCGTTTAATACGATAATAATCCTTTATTACCCATAGTATCTCTGCTTGTACCGCAATAAATAACAATACTATTTTTCGCAATTCCGTGTACTGAATCGATTGCCCCACAGTAAGATTGTCTCTGCCTTACAAGCTCATTTCCATCAAATTTTGAAAACATTTGAAATATAGACTAATACAAGAAACAAAGAAATTAAGTGAACTATTACGTGTCATTCTAATACAACATGGAAGGAAAGTCTTGCTATTATAAATAATTTTTTTTTTTTTGGAGTACATGTCTAATTTCGCTTTGCATTTTACAAATGGGTTCTTAATGAGTTATTAAATTAGGACACTAATAATACTTATTATCAACTACCAATATTGCCACATTATATACGTAACGATTTTTAAAATTTACCGTGTACTAGGTCGGTTATGGGTATTTTTATTATTCCTGTGGCTTAATTTTGAGCTATCAGAATTGCCCTCAAATCCCGCTGCGCTTTTAACTCTCTTCATATTGTAATTAGATTAACTTGATCTAGTTCTTTGTAAAAAAAACCGTAGGATCTGTTGTTATGCAGGCAATTAACAACCAATTAAGTTTAGCTAACGTCTAAATTCTAATTATTAATATCTTATAATATGTCGTTATTTATGCCTGTTTATCTGCACCCTGCAGTCTACATTTTTCATTTTTATTATTGTCGATTTTCTGGTCTGTCATCTGCTGCTATCTAATTGCTAAAGATGTTGCTCACCGCATTGCTCGCGCGATCCAGCTATAGAAGAGTTTTGGCCAGTCGTCGGTCGCTTGTCAACTTCAGCACTATCATGGTGAATTGATACTTTTAGATAATATGTGCATCTGTAAAGAAATATTATGCACAATTTGAGTCATCTACTATGCCGTGATAGAAAGCCGCGCGCTTTTTTGAAAACTCAGAACGCTGAGAGAGACCCAATAAGCTAACATATATTTATGTTAGGTTTATGTAGAAATTATCGACCGACGAAGCAACAAAATCTTTGTATAATATCAAAAGTAAATTGTTGAACTGGGTAAAGTGTGAATTTAGAAAAATCAAGTACAACTATTTGACTTTGAGATACCTTCTATTTCACTTCCTGCTACCTTTAGCGTTGTTCGTTTTAAGATGAGTAGCAGATATATTATTTGGTTAACTATAACAGCCATAGATATGGAATTGGATTCTAAATGAATTTGTTCGTCAGCATTTGCTTGATTTAGTTACATCTGACCACAGGCTCGAAACGGATTGTTTATTGATGATTTAATCGTTTGCATAGTAGTTTATATTAACTTAAGCACTTTTTGCCGTTTGTGTTACTACGTTCCGAGTTCTTCAAGTGGATTACTTCGAACTTTTGACTGACAAACTCATTTGTTATATTCAAGTGACAACTCAAAGTGTCAGTACTTCCAATGGAGCTGTGATTTTAATAATGTAATGTGTGGAGGTTTCTTTTACAGGATAAAAACATTACAGCCATGTCGAAATTCGCTCCAGCTGAACGTGTAGCCGGAATGGGCGAGAGCGTTTGGTGATTATCTTTACCTGTACTTTAATTATCGAAGTCGTTCGCTTAACGTACAGTATTATGACTGATGACATTTGTTGCTTGTATTATATGATGAATTGGTCACAGAGTCATTATATATAAATATTGGAAGATGAAGTTATGAGGTTTCAACTATCGAAGAAAAAATATATGTTTTATATATGCATACTAGTTTTAACAAAATTTAGTCTGACATTTATTTATGGATCATTGTCTATTTCTAGGATTGAATTCGGCCGGCTAGCCCTTGAGAATAAACCTGTTAACCTTGGGCAGGGTTTTCCAGACATGCCTCCTCCTGAAAGCGTTGCAAGACCCCTCCGCGAGGCTATCATAAAGGGTGGCGATTTTATGATTCATCAGTACGCCCGTGGATTCGTAAGTAAAATCCGATGGAAGTAACGTTGCATGCCTAATATAATTTCACGGCCACTGTTTACTGGAGCCCTAACTATAAACAATTACAATGATATATGAATTGAATATTCATTTTTTATGTTTTATAAAGGGTTGCTCTAAATCCGAACGTCTGTGATTCTAAGGCATATCTTCGGTGTAGACGTCAAAATATAGCCGCTATACTTTTTTTTTGTATTATTTTTACACGCCCAACTTAGGGCGTTCCTCGTCTAGTGAATGCCCTCTCAGCGCTGTACAGTAAGCTAACAGAACACGAGGTTAATCCGAATACCGAAGTGCTCGTTACAGTAGGAGCGTATGAAGCTCTCTTTTGTGTGTTTATGGGATATGTGAATCCAGGTAAGCTATAATTTTTCTCTTTGACTAGCGCCAAATTTGATTATAGTCCGTACATTTTGCAAGCTATAATAATTTCGGTATAGCTATTTAATAAAAAATTAGAGCATTCTTGATTCTGTTTACCTTGGACGTTGTTTTTTTAAAAAGTACCGATTACTATGTGACGGATTCAGACGGGACCCCGTTAACTTGTCCAAACGTGTTTTTATGCCAATTTTTTTTTTAACATCGTGTTCGCGTCATTATGCCTTACTTACCTTTGATAATTACTTCAAAATCTTAAATGCAAAAGAAATCCTAAACAACGCTTTACAGACATGGTAACTATAATTTTATTAAATTTTGACATTATGCACTATTTTGTCACAGTCATCTCTATCTAATATATGAAGTGTAATAATTAATAAGCGTTAACATAACTTGATAATTGCAATTCAGGGGACGAGGTGATCATCATTGAACCGTTCTATGATTGCTACGAGCCAATGGTACGGATGGCCGGGGGAACTCCCGTCTTTATTCCTCTTAGACTGGTTAGTAGGACCGTGCTCAGAAAACAATTTAATCGAATAATATTTTTCGAATTCCTCCCTGTCACTTAGTGCTACTCAATATGCTATTAACGGCAGTGTCGATATGTGGTACAAAATGTATTAAGGAGAATATACCGTCCGCTTTGCAGTACTGTCTACGACCTGTAATCTGTTAACTTACATTGTCGGCGCAAGATCCGTCAGGCCTTTTCATTGAGGTATGCTGTCTAGTTAGGCGGTTATTTGAGGGGGCGGCAATAGTCTGGCAGTAAAAGGCCTCACTGCGAAATAATGCGAAGTAGTTATTAGTTACCTATTTATGAGGACGCACGTTAACGGATCGGCAAATACAAGTAGTGCTGATGTTGAAATTAGTTTAGACTATTTGGTTGCTTACCTACACTCATCGCGCTGAGCTCGCTGGTATGCAAACTAGGGTCGAGATACAAATAGGTGTTATGTGTGAGCAACCTTAAAGGCCACCTAAGGTCAGTAATCACTCACTAAATGAGTGTCAATGAGCTAATTATTTCTGTTCTACAGAAAAAAACGGGCGACCACATATCATCCGCTGACTGGGTTCTCGATCCCGTTGAGTTGGCTTCGAAGTTTTCAGATAAAACGAAGCTCATTGTCGTTAATACCCCGCATAATCCCCTCGGCAAGGTTTTCTCAAAGGTAAGTTGTTCTTTTCTGCATTCTGTGAAACATGAAATTGAAAAAACATTTTATAAGTGTGCGCGCAGAGCTAGTATCTAACTTTTCCATCGTGGCAGATGAGTATAGTTATAATAAATCATTTACCGTGTTATCTAGATCACGAGGTAGTGGTGTCCACCTTTGTAGTTAACAGCAAATGGGACTTACATCGAATTATGTTGAATATATCTTGTTATATTTATGCGACTGCGATACATGAAATATTAAGAGTAAGCGTGATGTGACCCTACAACGATAACATATCATTTTGTAGAATGCAAAAGTTAGCTATTGTGCTACAATACCATATACTATTTCTATTTTTGCTGCAGGACGAGTTGACTATAATTGGTGATCTATGCAAGAAGCACAACGTTGTAGCCGTTATGGACGAAGTGTACGAATGGATAGTCTATAATGGCTCCAAGCACATTCGGATGAGTACGTATCATACAATGATAGCACTCGAAACAACGTTTTTTCCTCCGAACAACTGCCTTATATTTTGAAAGTCTTCGTATACATACGTGTACTAATGCTATGTAAATTTCTTTATATATATATTACTATACACCTGTATAGAGGATGTGGACTGAGATGTTTTTATTTGAGGGCCCATAAAATCTAGCGTACGACGTATTGGTTTAAACTTATTATGGTATCATAGCTCTGTTATTTAGCTACCACAGAACTGTCACCTGATTTGAATACACAGGCATAAACAATTACTGTTTTGAATTTCGTAAAAATAGCCTTATATTAACCCAACATTCGATTGTGAGAAAGTGTATCATACAATATATATTTTGATTACAAATTGAAGCTAAGATATCAATTTACTGCCGTACATTCTCTTATTAAATGTTAACATGCGTTTATTGGTAAAATTTACTGGGTACGATACTTCTCCTTAAGTGATTGGTCCTGGCAGCGTTTTCGGGCGTGTAGTTCTATAGCGGGATGAGCAACCCACTTTCCACACACACACACATATATACATTGGGTTGTCGAAAAAGTACAACCGTTTTTTAGCATAATTGTTTTAAAGTCGCATATTTGAGATAATATGAGCCGTGTCAGGTCAGTTGATGTCCTTTGAAAGCTAATACTTAGCATTAGTAGCTGTGATAAAATTGAAATGCGCTACATTTCACAATTTGATTACGATAAAGGCATAGATACTACTTCGGCCCACGAAAAATTTCTGCTGCTTTTCGTCAAGGTTCGTTGTCGGATGAATTGGCCCGAATGTCATTAGGCTGCTTTCGTTGTAAAAATTTCCATACGAAAATGTTGCTTGTAGTAGTCGACCGCTTACAAAAGAACTAATGGTTAACGTTGAATAAGACCGGCACGTGAATAGCCGTGATATTTTCAAGGAAGTAAACATTTATCACCAAACTTTTTTAAACCATCTGAAGAAAGTTGGCAATAAAAACAAATTTGATGTTTACATGCCACGCAGATTAACACACAAGTATTTATTTTCGTGTGCTAAATTCTGCAGAAACTCAACGAAGTCAAACAATTGTTAAAGCATTTGATCACCGAGGGCTTCTGAAAAATTGATTACATACGATACGATATACAAATAAAAAAATGTGCTTGACAGTCTGACAAAGCGCACTCTGACACAAAAGAAGGTATTGCTACGTGTCTGGTAAGAGTGGAAGACATTCGCATGCGCTGGTGTCCCCTGACGGAACGATTAATTGTGACTTCCACTGTCAACCACTAATAGGATTACAACCAGCCATTGAAGAAAGTTGACCAGAATAAGTGAACATAAAATGTGTCGTCATTTACTTTGACAATGCCAAACCACATAAATATTTAGTAAGCCTACAAAAATTAAGAGAGTTTCAGTGGGAAATTTTGATGCATCCGCCATAGCCCCGATCTCACACTGTCAGGCTACCATCTGTTTCAGTCTCTGCAGAAACCGCTCGGCAGGGGTGTTAATTAAATTCCAATGCAAGAATACAAAATTTCGTCATTTAGTACATTTGGATAAGTATTTTAGGACAGAGGTCCTACAGTGGTGGACGGTAGAAGGCCATCGGTCGCAACATCATTTTAAATTACGAACGGTGTTTGCTTCAGTTTTGGATGAAAACTGCCAATATTTTTTCGACAACCCAATATATACATTCTCAGGCGTAGATAGTAGACAGACGCGATAATTGTAATACGCTTTGCTACATAGTCATATAAAATGTTCACGTTTAGTTCGCTAGTATATTGTGGCTTACTGGCTTTTCTCTATCCGTTTTTGGTAGACACGCTTCCCGGCATGTGGGAGCGGACCATTACAATTGGAAGCGCAGGAAAGACTTTCAGCATTACAGGTGAGTACGTCACAGCCTATCCTATGAACGAGAGTCTTTAGGCCAGTTCGTGCTTCTTAATGTCATTTATCGAGCATGCCGATCAATTGCATTAACGCAATAAAGACAGGTAGAATTATTGCTTGATTCTTATTTGTGTAGAATTATTTTTCAGGATGGAAAATTGGCTGGGCATATGGACCGGCCAACTTGTTGTGTGCTCTACAATTAGTTCACCAGAACTGCGTGTACACATGTCCGACGCCTATTCAACAAGCAATTGCTGTCGGCCTCGAAATCGAAACGGCTAAAATTGGTAAAGAAGATTCCTATTGGAAATCATTGGTCGAAGAACTCGAGCCAAAACGGGATCGCATTTGCAAGTTCTTACAGAGTGTCAACATGAATCCCACAGTCCCACAGGGCGGATACTTCCTTACATCAGACTTCTCACAATTCGGTGAGTTGAGTTCTTATTTCAAATTTAAGTGAGACGCAGAACTCTACTACCTTCGTACGGGGAATACTATAAAGTGTTGTTAGTAATTGTACGCCATCCGCCATAATATACAGTAAAACAGTGAAAACATTTCTATGATTTGCGTGAATACGAAAACTTTTCACAGACTTGCAGAATAGATTTAAGTGGAAGCATTAACGAAATTGACACATGTATTTTTTTCTTTCACAAATTTTAAATGCGCTGACAGCATTCAATTGAAACTTCTAGTAAGAAACAACGCTACAATTAATAACAGCTGAATAACATAGTCAATTCTAATAACTGTTATCTGCTTAAGATAGTATGTAAATATTTACGCGTGTCACAACCTTCTCCTTAAGTATTTCACTGAGTTCCTCTACGTAGTCATTGACGAAATTGTCGATTGAATCCTTTGCAAGCCTTTGAAGCAATTCTTACGAATGCACACAATATCGTGTTGCATTCATTGGATAATGTAAAACCGCTTTTAGGTATGGTAGTACTATTTAATATGTTGGGAAGGACGAGATACACCTCATCGTTGAATCATGGGGATATGTTCTTATAAAACTGCAGTGCAACGATGATCAATAGCAACAGGCATTTTTAATCTCTAAGCCTTCACAGGTTCTTCATTTTATTCATACAGTAATCATAGCTTCGCGCTTTATTTAAACACCAAATAGTATCGATGAGTCGAAATCATCCTTGATAACAGAATCTCAATTTATCATGGAATGAGCTAAACGTATTGTTTGGATGTTTTTACCATATTCAGCAGCACTAGCACGAGCTGCACGCGAGGTATGTCCAACCTTTGTAATCTCCTATACGACCTGTACGGTTAATACGAGCCATAGCCGTATGAATGAGGTCTATTGCGAGCCCGCGAAATCGAGCCAAGTTCAAGTAGAGTCAGATGCAGGGGTCGCACTGGGTACAGCTAGATTTCCAGTAACGGCGACCATTACAACCATAAGGTTGAACGTGATTGTCAACAGGGAGGAATTCTCAAGTTGATAAGGATGTTTTCAAAAATCTTCATTTTTTTCGACTTTCGATTTGATGCTAGAAAGGTTGTGTTGTAATAATGGACTGTTACTTAAATGTTCTGTAGATCAATTTAGGTAGCAACTGTTAGTGTTGTGATATTATTTTAGTGTCGTGTGATGCTATTCTGTTCTTGAACGTATCTCCAGAAGAAACCAAGGGAGGGGCTGTTTTCTCTGTCGTCATATCTTCCTCTAACGTCGACTACCGTGTTTTTTCAGTAGAATTTTGGCTAAAAAGATTCGGAATTGGACGATATTGGCTACCAAGGTGTAGTTTTTTTCTACACTGTACACATGACATCATCTATGTTTTATCGTTGTTGGCGCCAAAGAATGAAAGTAGTTTATTTGTGTTTTACCGAATCATGCAGCTACGAATAACTAGAACTTCGTTAAATGCTCTGTTACGAAACGATGACTTCGAAGTAAAAGCTGAAAGACCTGCTGACTCAGTCAAAAGTTCTCGCCTTTATTTCGTCGTAGGAGTAATTTTCTGATGGCAATTTTTAGAAATATGTCATTAGTATCCACGAGATTATGAAAGATATGCTTGAGGATTTATTCAAGTATTGGTGAATACCGTACAACGGTTTTGTTCGCCGACAACTTATGTAAAATGAAAAAAAAAAAAAAAAAATTAACCACTCGAAAAAAATAGGTTATTTTTATTGAATATCTAGGCTGGAAAAGTTCACTTTAATTTATTTCGTACTCTATTTTTACATAAGATTTTTGTAAAGAAACGCACGACGAAGGAGTATTAAAATGTCCATTATATCCTATATAACACCTTCTATTCGTCAAGATGAACAAGCAAACATTTTATATATATATATTTTTTTTGATGTTGGGTGAATAGAGCAGGAAAAAGTAAATATTTTTATTATCATAAAATTATTTAATATAGCAGCAAGAAGCTGCGGCCAGCGTAGGCATTTACGAAATCCACCAAATGATCCTGCTATGAATCTTAATTATATTGGCTTTCATATAGATTAGATAGACAGACATGCATTCATATTAATTGTAATAATAATAGTAATAATAATTATTATTGTTCCTTAACTCGAACCGTCCCAGGTGTCGCTATTATGACTGGGTGGTTAAAATGTGAGAATTTTCAATAAAGATTTCCCGTTATACGTGATAGATTAGTGGTTGAATAAACAGGTCTGCCGTCTGGGAGGTGCTATCGGCATGGTGACCTGTTGTTACAGCGGGCACTAACCAACTTAATTGATGCATTAATAAGTAAGTTCCAACCTATCGTTCTACACGTAGAGTTAGAACGTACAGAATAACTTGTTATCGAAGCCCTGTTGTCTTAGGCCTAAACCTATACCCATACTCGCTTACGTGTTTGTGTTGTTGACATCATTTACGAAGGGTCTAGCCTCGTGTTTATATCCACGATATGAACCCATCATCCGAGATCTCTATACCAATGACAAAGGTGTTTGTGTTAATCCTTTACTTCATAAATGACACGTTAAGACTTCACACCAGGTTTCCTTTAATTTCGTGCAGATCTGCTGATAGTGGGTGCCATATGTCCTTGTCCATTATCGATCTGCCCTAATCCATTTTTATCCGCATTTGCAGATCATTATGCTTTTAATATTATTTGTTTAACTAGGCTGTTTCAATGTAGCTTATTAGCTGAAAAATATTGAGGTATACATAAAGTCTTCGATTAATTTTTGGAAACGGGTACTTTACAAAAGAACATAAGTGTATAAAATGATTCTCACAGAGATCCATAATTTTTGGCTATGCTATTGTCCCGTACTTAATTTATTAGTTTGGCACAATTCTCTACTGAGCATAAGGTCTGATAACTAATGGCACGTCTGTCTAGGTGTCTGTTAAAGACTAACTGTTAATCAAATTGAGACGATTACAGCATATTATTATTCTATAGGGACTTGAATTGATGCTGTAGGTGGTCGGAGTGTCACTTTATTTTATGTACAAATACTACAAGTGTACACGTATACCGCAGGTAACAAAAAGAGGGTAATTTAACGCGCTCTTTATATTTGTCGTAACCGACATAGCATTTTCGGTGTCGAAGCGTCGAGTTCAAGGCTGGAGAGTAGCTGTTTTTGGCTTTTGTCTCGAGAAGCGATGTTTTTCACGTATGCCTTTGACTCATTAGCGCTGAACGGCAGTTATAAGAAATTTTTCACCTGTCCAGAATGCTGAGTGGTACTCATAGCGTCCTTTGGCACCTCCTCCCTACCAAAGAAGATGGCATTTTGGCACGTTTCGAACCCGCCATGATAAGCATACTCGACATGTGCTTTTAGAGAATGTACCGTTTTATAAGGCCAATGTCGCCAGTGCAGGAAATTTTGAGAAAACTAGTAGCTCAGTGAGAATCAGGCTTTCGTTGCAAGTCCGTTATCGAGCGGCGGTTATTCAAAGGTAAGCTTCTAAACAGAAAGGACGGTCGTGCTCTCTGAGTGAACGCTATGGCTTTTGACAGCATCCTGTCATCGCGGGCGATTCAGACGGTGAAGGCTGTGCCTCCGTCGATGTTTGCTTGTCACGGTTTGCCGCAGAGCTCGGAACGGCATTGTATGTGTATGAGAGCTGGCTTTACAGAGCTCTGCCTGTTTGTAAACCTTAAACATATGTAAAAGTATTGCCGCGGCCAGCAGCGGGCGCGGAGCCCGTTCGTAGTGTCGATCTGTGTCGTAAAATAGCCAGCACGTGAAGTGAAGACTCAGCACCATACGATTGGCATTATTAGGTTCACTGGCTTTTTGGGCGAGAAGATCGATGTCAAAGTGGGTACTGCTTTGGCCCACAATCATGAATGACGTGCTCTACACTGTTAAATGATCGTAGACGACGAGGCGTTAAAGTTATCGAATAGTATGAGGTCACTGACAGGCACGTTGTAAGCAAACACTATTGCTGTTGTTGGTGTTAGCCGAACTGACGTAAAGGAACCATTTGCATAAATGTTCCAGCATTTACGGGAAGTCAATAAGATCATCAGGTCATCTACTGTCACCAGGCTGGTTAACAAGATAATAATCCAAGAATGTTAGCGTAATGCTGGTTGGAGGCTATAGCGTTTAGTATAGAACATTTGTAGTATAGTATAGTTTGGATATTGTGTCAATTAGTATAGAGGTATCTTCTAAAACAGCTCTAGAACAGGCATGGCGTTCATGCAAGTAAACCTACGACAATAATGGGGAAATGGTGTGATTAATATCAGACTCTGCTTTGATTGGGTTTATGTACAGTAACTTTTGTTACTGTACATAAACCCAATCATCAAACTTATAAAAATTAATTTTCGTGTGTTTTCAGCAAAAAATATTGACATGTCAGCCTTCACGGGTACAAAAGATTTCCAGTTCGCTAAATGGCTCTCGACGACTCAGAAACTACAGGGAATACCTCCGTCAGTATTCTATGGACCAGAACACAAGGCTCTAGCCGAGAACTACATCCGGTTCTGTTTCTTTAAGGTAATTTCATTTCTAAAATCGAAAAAAAGCCAGCAGTTAATTTCCCACGACTTTTCCTTTGGCTTCATGTTTTCTTTTTTCACTTCTCACTAAAAACGCCGATGAAATTACTATTGATTCATTTAGGCTAAGAACGAACATTGTTTGCTTAATGCTCACAACGAATGCCTACCTTTAAGGCTCAAATACTTGCCTGGTTTGGAGTCGTTAATCAAGCATGTGAGTACATTAGCCAATGGCCTATCGATACGTGGTCTCAATATAGGCTTAACCAGTGACTCAGCATGAAACGCTTGGAGTGTTTTGTCTGCTATTATCTATATTATTTGTTTTTAAAAATATCCATCTTGGCAATCGCAACAACTATCGAGATAACTACTGATTGCCGCCAGGCTAAACCATGTCACAAATAGGTGTGAAACCCTTGAACGACTTCTTTGGCAATGAGCATTACAGACATTATAGGACACGGCTAATTCCACGAGTTCGTAAAGGAAAAGTTTTCGTCAGTTTATTAACGATGCCCTTGTTTCACTACTTTGTTAGCAATATCTTCGCATAAGTTACTAACCTGTTTTACCTGTCGATAACTGTGTTAATATCGGTAAGACATTGCCGCGTCTAATTATATCTATTTATGTACATGTATCTGTGGTGGGTGGCATTTAACTGCAGAGGCACTTGCCGGTGCTGCCGCCATCATTAGCAAATTTATTGGACACAATGGCACGTCGTTGTGTATACCATTTGTATGCTTGGTTTACTGGAACTTGTCTACTGACATTGTAAACTCTGTCTGTTTCTATGACACTTTCGTCACTAGTAGTTCGTCGGTCTCGAGTAAGGCAGCGGGCTATGCTGAGACGAACGTCCTTGGCAGATGGCGACACGAGGAATCGTTAACAGAGGCTATATACGTGCTATGAATTGATCAAGTAGGGCACACAATGTAGTTCCTGCCGTTGGCTATGTGAAACGCCCCGCTCGTTGTGAAGAGGGCAAACTTATAGGCGCGAGGTACATTGATACCTAAACCGAAAGGAGACTCATCAGGCATAGGCCAAGAATCCTGTTTGAAACAGTCCTACGGGCTGTGGTGCGTGCTAGTCTGATGTTATAAAGGCCGTTCGATGATGGTTATATTGTTAAAGGAAATAAAATGGAAGTAATAGTTGGTTTTCTGGCGAAGCTTTGTATCGAGTCTGTCAAGCGCTTTTAGTTACGGGACGTTGATCCGAACTCTTCGATTGGCGTATTACTCTCGGACCCGGTTTGCTGGTGTTACTGTGGCACAAGTGAATACAAAATGTCGCTACTGTTGGCACATGGACCAATCAAACGAAATCTGAACGGTTTTCATGCAGCGAAGTTTAGAAGAACAAGCACTCCTTTCTGCGTTCTACCAAGACCTGTATATTTGATCAATTAATTAATAGTAATATTAATTAATTAGGCATTTTAATTGCCTGAAAATAGCTTTACAACCGTAATATGTAGAGTTGAATGCCTACGAATCTTTAAGACATCTTTATGAGTTGCAAAAATTATTATAGAAGTTTACTGCCACGGTCAGAACTCTAAGATAAGGATTAGTAAAACGGTCGCGTGTATTAGAATCAAATGCGCATTTCGTGCGGCTTTTTTTTTTCGCCGTTGTCTTCAGCTCAAAAGACGTTTGAGATGTTAGGAGGTATCCTCGCAATAAGGCAGCTGCTTTGGATTATCGTTACTGGCCGTAACAACGGCTTGGTAGCCTAATCAACCGCATTAAAAACTCGTTGCCTATTAAGAAGTTACCTTTGCACAAGTATCATCTCTATAACTTTCTTACATGTATGATTTATCTGCTAGATCCATTGTTTCATTAGACTTTTTAATTATCTATTGCAGCTTGAGAGAGATGTTAAAGGGCTTTTCAAAGTAAAAGGTTTAAATGTATTCAACGCTGTTCTATCAAAGTGCGCTAATTGTTATAGATTGTATGAGAAACTTTTTGGAACGTTTTCAACGCACAGCGAGAATCTAGTTGACGCCAATCTTTTCTTAGCTCTGAGCCTTCTTTGTTATCGTACGCCAAATACATCGATTCGCGCTAAATGGTTTTGTTATTATAACTGGCTGAAATTAGAACTGCGGCTAAGTTATCAGTTTTCCTTTCATCGGATGTAATTTCCTGTAGTTCTCTATGATTAATTTTATTCCAGTAAGAAGAGGATTCTTGACACATCCTTTTTGTTATCGATATGTATACTTGGGTGCTTTCCGGTAGTATGCCTAAATATGTCCAGCACAGCCCTATCCGACGTGTAGAAAATAACAATATCTGCTACATTGTTAAACGTGTTTTACTAAAGTCGACCCTTTTAACAAGACTTGATAAATCGTCAATTAGGGTTGACAGTTGCGTCTATTCAACGCGTTCAGATGATGAAAGAAGCCAATGAACAAGTGAAGCTTTTCCTTTTGCTTTAAAAGCAATTGGGGCTATGTCAAATTTGAATATTGAAACCAATTCGTGAAAAAGTAATACACGTTTTTTTTTAACAAGGCTTTTGCAAGACCGAAAAAGACCTAAATAAACTCCAGTGACAGCTGCGTTCCCGCCTGTGTTCGATTGTTTATATATTCCTGTGCATACTTTCATCAGCTGGGCTACAGCAGCGCCAGCCTACGATTATTATGTCATTTTGCTAAAGCAGTACGGTGATCGTTATCTCATTATATTTTAATAGATTATATCGATAGCGGCTATCTATGGGCTTTGTGTTGTTGTATTCCTGTCAGAGTTACAATTTTGCAGAGACAAGCAACTGCTTTGGTGTACGTCGTAGTTTGTCGATGGTCTTTTAGATCGCTAGTCGAAATCAGTTGGCCCGACTAGCACGTACAAGCGAATTGGCGCGCCACATCGAAAGCTCCTGGCTTTCTGTAACCCTTTCCTAGACATCTCTGTGACAGGGTGTTAGAAGCGCCAAACAATCAGGTCTACCAGCACCCTTAATAATCAGATCACCTGTATCGTCAGTGTAGACGGTCTCACTGTCGCTAATACGACCACTAGACCCGTTTCAGGTAGCGAGATCTCACTACCATGTGTATACGTATTTATTAAAGAGGTTAGAAAAAGTTAATTTGCCGTGGAGTTATTTAGCGCCTACCAGTCGGCCTGCCAACCGTTAATACATGTAAAGGTCCCACTAAGACTCGTATTAAAGAGAGTGATTAATATTTATACTGCTAAATATGCTGTAACTTAAATTTAATAGCATTGACAACATTTAAAGAATAACACGTCTTGACTAAGAGGCTTCTAGAAGTTCAATATAATAGAATGGTTTGCTCTAAAACCAACGACTCTGAGGCGTCATTACACGGTTTTGAAGCCTACAGAAGAACAATTAACTTCAAGTATACTATACTGATATATACTTTGTGGCTGTGAGTAGTCGACAAAAGCCGCCTGAAGGTAGAAGTCCGAGGGAAAACAAAGATGTGCATGGGAAGGTGAAGACGTCTGAGTGATCTTAGCTCAGAGTGACTTCTGTCACTAGCTGACAACCCGCCTCTTTCTCTCGTTTGCCATTCGTGTGGAAGACGAAGAACTACGTAATTAAAAAGAAGCCTAATATCTGTCAGCCATCATCTTGTGGCACCTGCCTTTGCCCAATTACGTGACGTCATGAAACAATTCTTTCGTTACCCCCGTTTGCGATCAACTAAAACATTCTGTCTTTCAAAGTCTGTCGCATCCTTTTCTCTTGTCTGGTGCTCAGCTTTGTGTGTTTCCCTCTTTCGGCTACCCCTAATTTTTTCCGTTTTTTATTGGCGATGGGTGATACTGGGATAATTTGACATGAAAGTGCTGCTTATTACCTCAACGTGTTATCAACGAACGCAAGTAACTGCTTGTAGGGGCTCGTTGGACGTAGGACGTGGCGGGGCGGGGGCAGCGGCGTCATCGTCGTCATGATCAAAGTAGCAGTGGCCTTTGATGAGGGGGCTAAGGGTGTGGCTGGCACCTATACGGATGGCAATAGTAGCATGTTCATTCCATAGTGAACAAGATAACATAATCAATGGCAGTACCTAGCGGAAAAACGATTATGGGATTACGAATAGCTGTTTGGTTTGGGTTGGGTTGGGCTTACGACTTTCATTGTAGCACCATTATTTGGATGCTATGACATATTACGCACAGTACATGGGTGCATACTCTTTGGTTCAAGCCGGCAAAGCAGAGACAACGTCAACCGGCAGCACCCATCGACCAGATACGAGCCGTCTGCTAAGACAAATAGACCATTTGAACGTAGCTCCAGCATAATTTAGTCGATTTAAAGGAATAAAAGCCGTTTTTGTATACCCATATTGGCAAATTTGTAAACAATGACTGCGAGCTTAGGATAAAAGCGGTATTTTTCCTACGCTGATTCTTTTCGCTGCTGACAATGATCTGGCAATAGAAAGCAATAGTTAATGATTATAATGTTTAAAAAATTTTCATATATGAGCAGCTTACACGAGAAATTATATACATATATAATGGTCTGTGTGTCTCTTACTGACAAGCAAAAACTTTGCAAGGAATCGAAACACAATATCATCGTCTTACCAGAATTAATACAGAATAGTAATTTAGCGTCCTGGACAAGGTCTGATCCAGAATGTAAGCTGTGCTAGCCTCTGAGCGTATAACGGAATGGCAGCTGGCTACATATCTTGGCGGTCATTTTAGGTAGCTCTAAACGATGTACCGTGTGGCTGTTTTGAGAATGACTTGGTCGGCCATCTTGCAACTAGCAAAAATATAACCATGTCTCTTACCTTGGGGAGGATGAGGACGTTTCTTGAAATCCTTTGTTGGTTGACTTCAATTTCTATCGAGAAAACTACGTTGGCCTAGTAGTTATCACCTTCTGGCTGGCAGGTTTCAGCACTCTATTGGTTGTGTTGCTGTCATTTTCCTATTGTAGCATGATACCCGCAGCGCCGCGTGATACGTCAAGGGATATAAGTATTACCATGTGACTTGGGGTGCACTTCTAACAAGAGAAGAGGAAAACAATACCGAGAAAGACCTTTTCCCGTTCTATACCATAGAGCGCGTTTGAGAATCGACTGCGTTAACCTTGAAATATCATCTAAAGTAGCCAAGTAGTCCTACTAAACTGGAGCGGCAAGAACAAGCTGAGTGCTTCCGCAGCTATTAGTAGTGGTAAACTTTTCTATTATGGTTGCTGCTACAAGAAAAAAACGAGAATTCGGTTGCTGTGCCATCGTAGTCCCCCTAAGTTCACAACTTTACATTTGCCCAGTCCTTATTCGATAAAGGTGATTATTTATAACTGTCTGCCCGACTTCTCGTGGTTACTGCTGCTGCCGATGAACTTACCGACCGCGAAATTAAACGACACGGTGGACGAGCAACGATAATGTCGTCAAGGGTTGGTTTGATAATGTTCGGATTGGGCCGGCTTGGATCAGCCGAAAGATGTCGAAAAGTGATTTCAGATGTAGACGAACTGGTTTACGAAGGTAAAGCAAATGGTGTGGAAGAAAATATGCGAACGTGCTAGCAATGCTGGATGTTCAATATACATGACTGTGAAGTTAGTATTTGACTTAAAACGACGTTTGAGAACGAATGCTGCCATGAAAAAAATCCTGCGTGCTGCTCCTAGGCTGACTCTATTATGCAAAAATATGTAGCGTGCCCAAATAATTTATTTTTGTTTAAAGTGGTTGTTGAAAAATTAATGAAAAATATACATTTTTCGTTAATTTTTCAACATAACTCCCCTAGTCTATGAGTAGATGCGCACTTTTTCGAAATAGTCGTACTCAATAAGAAAGCGCATGGGACAAACAAGCTGTCTGCATGTTTACGCTTTCCGAAGAGGAGTTTATTAAAAGGGCTTACTTTCGAGTAATCTGCGAGATCTTCCAGGCCAAACACACCTAAATTTAATTCGCAGTCGTTGACCAGGATGATTCTAGTCTTGTTTTAAAAGCGCTGTGATTTTTTATGGTTCAATTCATTTTATAGTGATGAAATTTGCCAATAACGAAGTGCCTCTTAAAATATATTAATCGTATTAGACGCACGACTTGCATATATTTCATGTATAAGATACGATAAAAGAGCACTGAACTGGCTAATTGGATAAAATAGCTTTTCATTAAGATGAACGCGAATATGCCAAAGGAGCGTTTCAAACGTGAGGTATTACATGTGCGGGTAATGTGAAGCAGATTAATTTTTTTGTGGTATTTTCCAGTTTGCTGAATATTATAATTAAAATATTTACTATGTTTCCGCACCACATGGGGAGAAGAGATATTCTGTGCGTTACGATAGTAAATTATGTTAACCAAATATAAGAGGAACTACGAATCGAGGGTTAATGAGGGGTTACTAAACATTCTTGTTGGTCGGCTTCCAGCTTAATATGTCCCGCAACTTCCTTCGGAACGTATACGAAATAACTAGTATAATTAACAATGGTAGGTGTTTAGCGTGGCATAAAGCAGACGATCAGACAAATCACAGCATTAAGGCGGCAAGTTTAAACAAAAAATTTGTTTAAATAGAATGTAGCTTAAGTCGAACAGAAACACTCGGTGAAAGTAACTGTCTCAGTGTCTGCTCAATATTTCGCGTTTGGCTATAAATGTAAATCGAAGTGGTTGTGAAGAGCCATATACTTCGCTGGCTCGGTATTTCACTAGACGGGCTAAAATGCACCGATGACCAACAAAAACGACGAGTTTGTCAGTCGCTGACAGATGTTGTATACACAACATGAACTTAGCGGGCCATTAAAGAGTTTGTATAGTGAAATAATAAGTTGACGGGGGAAAATGTGAAAGTGGCAGAATACTGAACAAAAGAATCAGTTATAATGACAAGTAATGGCAACGTTGTCATATTATCGGGTACCACCGGATTGAGAAACAGCATTTTTACTATTACAGCCAAATTGCGTTCTCGGTGCGTAGCATGCAAAGCCTTAAATATAATCTATTTCATTTTTCTTTTGCAAATTCGGAATTTCAGACAGATGAAACCTTGGGTAAAGCAGAAGAAATCATCAAGAAACTGCCAAACAAAATGTAAATATTTGCAATATACGACGTCGACTTTTAATTACATAAATTATTTATCCAATAAAAAATGACCTCGTTTTAAAAATCTAAAAAATAAATATCCATTATTCGGCACATTTACCTGTACATTCACTCCTTTTGCATTAATTGCTCTTTTTGATAAAGGATAGTTGTTGTCATGATTTGTATTAGCAGACGCCACGTACGATAATAGATTTAGTTAGGTGTATATATTAACATAGTTTTAGAGAGAAATTATTGGTACATAGATATACATTTCTAACGTTTCTTGTATAATCAGATAGAGATTACTTCAGATTATAGTAGTCAGGTTGTAAGCAGAAGACGCGCTATAAAAAATTTAAACTGTACTCGTGCATAGCGTATTTGACTGCTACGCTTAGGGAACATGATGTTCTAACTTCGAAGTTAGGCGCAGAACAGATTTCGTTTCCTGAAAGCCAGCACTTTTCGGTATGTAAGTTGATTGTTTGATAAAACGTTGTCGCAAACCTGCTCCGTAGTTTTTTTCGCGAAGCTTACACCAGTGCATCATTATCGAAAATCTGTCGTTGGCAATGAGGTGTGTTCGTTCTGTAACGCTGAGCCCAAGTTGAAAACAGTTACGATCTACTAGATAGGCAGTGTATTATCGACGTAATGGTCAGTTAGATGAGCTTTCCGATATTAGGAAGAACAAGCGGCGTCTCAGCCTCAGACCAGTCTCTTTCCGTACCTTGAGCCTGTCTTAGTGTAACCATCATCCATTTCACTTCAAAGTTTTTATCGTTCTAATACATTTTCGCCAGTACCTCGCCCAGTGGTCGATCGCGAACGCGATGCTAAACACTGTCATCGACTGCAGCGATAATTGATTGTTGACTTTAGCTCTTCTGTAGTGTTTTGCTATTTTTAACGTAGGTTAAAAATTATCTTGTTTTATTTGTCGTAGTCCTATACCGAACCCTAGAATATCGGGACCACGAGGTTTCAGATTAGCTGCCGCTTACCTTGTTGCTTTCCAGCTTTCAAAGGAATTTCGAATTTTTCGTGCCAGGTACAAGCTTCTTTCTTGGACGATTTGCGCTAGGCATCCAGCGATTGTCTTGCAAACATGCAGCTGACAGGGCTTCGACAGAAGCTATGTTTAAGGCAAGAACTTTAGGTTAATGGTCATTGTACGTCGACTTCAGCTGGCAAATGTTCAGGGGCAAGAAGCAACTGCAACTCGTAAGAGTTGCAGTTGCTTCTTCAGAAGATACAACGCTTCGTCAGAAGATACAACGTGGCCGTAAGCAGGGCCTGGGTTGCGAGCCCACAACCTCACAAAAGTTTTAGTGAAACTACGATCCAGACAGAAGTTTTTTCGAGTTTCGGTGACTCAATAAAAGGCTAGTACATATTTTGAATAGAAAACATTAGGAGGAATTGCCCACCAACGCTGCTATCAATTTATTTAATCCTTCCTATATTTGGTTCATTGTCACATATGCTCTTTTGCCATGCGTTAGATCTATATATATAAATTGTCTACTGTATAAAAAAGCAGGCATATATGTATAGTTAGAAAATGAATAATTCGCTAGTTAAAAAAAAGGGTAGACTTATGACGTAAAGAGGCCTACTTTTTATTTTACCTATCTAGATTGTAGTTTATAAGGTATCCAACTCAGGTCTACTTTTTATTTTACCTATCTAGACTGTAGTTTATAAGGTATCCAACTCTGAAGCGTAATCAATACACTTGAAAAGTTTGTCGGCTATCAAAAACAAACCACTAAGTGAAGCATTTAGATGAAACATTACTAAAACGTGTAACAATTCTTGACGCCTACCCATCTAGCATAGACTAGCTGACACAATTACAAGGTTGCTCGTGGCGCTGCTAACGCTTGACGTACTAGCTTCTTCAAGCTGGTACGGCCATCGTTTCGTCTTGCTTAATAAATGTGTATAACTATACATTAATTCCATTTACAGATGCGCTTTAGCTTTAGATTAAGTTTTGCCAGCAGCTAATAAATCCATGCTCATTACCTTCAACCTATTAAAGCTACAACTGTCATCAGGACTTCCATACAGGAGACGGCCGTCAGGATGTAGTGAGATTTCTTTTATCAGGAGGCTCGTTGCGTTGTTCGAAATCAGCACTACTCCCTCATGTGGTTGATGATTGCGCAGTAACTTCAACTGCGGCTTCATTAGGCCTCCTGATTAACTATTACGCTCCGTGTGCAATTTCGAAGTCGGCATTGGACGTCATTGACCAATAGAGATGACCCACTAGGCCTGACCTAGTTTTCCTGATACGTTTTCATTGAGGTTACAAGACTTAGGATGATGATTTGCTCATAAGACTAGAAAACAACGAAGGTGATACAACACGGCTGAGTTTCCTACGTGGCACCTCATCTCAAAGTAAAATGGCAGGTGTTATATTTAAATGGAAGTGAGACTTGATTGGCCTCAGCGTAAAGAGAAAATACCGTCAACCGTATATGAGCGTTTGATTGGAAGTAGGAAGGCTACTGCCCACCATAGTGGAGGAAACAACAATTGTTAACTTTACAAGAATCAATAGGAACTAGCAATAGCGATTACCAAGCGGTGTCTTCTTTTCGGCAATCCGTGGCACTGTGTCGGTTACCGTAAAGCTGTTTAGGCGAATCACCCGGTTGGATAAGCCAGTTTATGTTCGTCCGCTTTATAAGGATTACCTTTATCTAACGTCTGTGTTATACTGGTCTATAAACTTCTATATGGGTATATTTATATCATATCGATAGTACATAATATGTATATATATATATATATATATATAATAAATGATCAACAAAACACACTATTATGGTAAACACTTAGTGTTCATTAGTTAATGGAGGTTGGAAATTAACATAGTGTTAAAGACTTGGCCAGAAAAATGATATTTTGGTAGTATAATATTAACAGCATCGTTCAGTGTTCTTAACAGAAAAAATAGGCAAGAAGCCGTGGATGGTGTTTAAATAGTGTCCCAGTTCATCATTTCACGATAAAAGCAACGATTCAAACTATACATTCATTAGAGTTAGATAGCCAGTTTCAGACAGTAAAGCTACGATTAGAATTTTGCGCTTATCAATCATCCGAGGAGAGACCAAAAGGGTTTCCCTTTCATGCATCTTGTGAAATTCAGTTAACGAGCGGTCTTAATAAACAGGTAACTTTTGTGGCAAGGGAAGTTGTATGTTAATACACAAAAGAAAAACCTACGAGTTATGAAAAACCAGCTTCTGCCAAGCTTGGATGCAGCTGTGAACAAAGGCCGTAGATGCACACGGCAAAATATAAAAAATACGAATCTGTATTAATACGATTAATTGAAAAATAGTATGAAATAAAGATTGACCAGCGTGGCAAAACTTTTTTCTACTCTAAAGGGTTTTCGCTTGTGATGTAGTGCTCTTCTTTTCTATATATAACGTGTTGGTAATAACCATTTTGCCCTTAAGACGGTTCAGCTCAGCCTGGTACTCAATATTTACATGAAACAACTTAGGCGGTCAAAATCAGTCACTCGATGTTCGAGTAGTGTACAAATGTCATACATTGACGTGTATTAAACAGTTATTTTGTACAAATCGTCATCATCACTTGCAGGGTAAAGGTTGCATCAATTCCTATATGTCTGACAGGGTTAGAATCCGTACGGTTCCAAGAGCCCTTGCTTTCCTCTTTTCTACGCAATCCTTCTTTACAAAGGTTTATTTTACAGTCGAAGGTGAATTATCATTTGATCTTTACAATCATTTCAGCAATGCATGTTCATAGATCAAACGTATCGTTGTGACCCAGCTGATATCGCCTTAAAATAGTAGAGTACGCACGCGATACGATGCCGTCTCGCTATCTGCTCATTTATTAATGCTATAAAAATATATAATAAATACATTGGATAACCATTTACGTTATCCAAACAAAATGAACTATGGACGCGCGTATAAGGAGATCTCGTTTAATTAAGGCAGTGACATGACCCGAGGGTCCTATCGCTCTGTTTTTTTCTATCCAGTGGAGACACAAGGAATAGTTAACATATAATAGACGACAGAGATGGCCGTATATAAAAACTACAGATAACAGATAGCTAACAAACAATGTGCAGGTAAAGAAGATCATCCGGTCGTACAAGACATCTTCAAGGTCCCGTCCAGACTATAGCGAGATCGTAACATGAATTCGTATAGTTACTATTGGCGCCCTTAAGTATAGCTGGTAATTACCATTGACTTGCAACTTGGACATTTAGCATTAATAAATAGTTGGGTAGTATTGAGAACTACAGTATTTAGATATGGGCGACTTGCTTTAGAATGAAGTGTTTTTTGTCATTTAAAATGAATGTATTCGAGTTGATAAAACATTGTAACCACTGACACGCACGTTTAAAGCTACTAAGATTTTAACAATTTTGTTACCATTAAAAAGGCGGCTGCCCAACAGACTAACTTCTAGTTCACGCGGAACTAGACATTTCTGAACTGAGATTTCGGCTTTCTTTCCTTGTCTAGCGTCCACTTTTCAGCTTGAGGACAAGCACAACATCCGTGATAGTACTTTTATAATAGGTAGGACATTTGGTTTCATTTCAGAACCGAAGGCTTTTCATGACTTTTTGGTGTTTCTCTTTTTAAGAAAATATTTTGAAGAAGTTAATAGGAAAGGATTCTCACGCGTTTGTCTGAGAGATGAAAGTAAATTGGAAAGAAGTCAAAAAGTTGTTGTCAAAAACTTTGTCAAAAGACTTAATTACTTGTCAAATGGCTCACTTCATAATTTTCTTTCCTTAGTACATATGCATAAATAAATCTGGGTAAAGTGATTAATTGAAAATGTTTTAATCACTGTTACAGAAAGCTTACCCCGAGATACTAACCGCTTTATGTGTATAAAGTAGGAGAGTCCATATTTACATTCAAACAGGAATTACAATGAGAGATGATGCCAAGGTTTACGCCAGCGGCGCCGTGCAGCCTAAATCTCGAGTGCCCGC